GGCCTGGAAAAGCAGTCAACACTGGCCCAAAGCCTTGGGATCCTGCATCCATGTGGGAGACCCAGAAGAAGCTCCTGGCTTCAGATCGGCTCAGCTCCTGCCATTGCTGCAGCCACTTGGAGAATGAACTAGTGGATAGAAGATCTTTCTCTCTGTTTCTCCTACTCTGCATAAGTCTGCATTTCCAATAGAAAAAAAAATTTAATCTTTAAAAAATGAGTGGAAAGTATGCCTAGGGTGATCCCCAGGCCTAATTCTTGTATGTGTTTGCCAGTACAGGGTCTGGCACAGTCCATCGCCCCAATCAGCTTACGCACATGCTGGTGGTTGCAATTGCTGGGTCAGTTCTGTTTCCAGCCCTGTCTTCCACGCGAACCAATGGTTGTTGCAGTCCAGCCTGATCCTGCCCATTCGGTCCTCTTATAAACTACTGGGAGCTGCAGCCTAGTTGGGGCAGCTCCCCATAACCTCCACCAGGCCTGGCCCCTACCTTGATTCTCCCTGTCTCCCAGTATGTACCACAGACTTGTTCAGTCTGTCCCACAGCCCATTCAGCTCTCATACATGTCAATGGGCATTGAAGCCTAGTTCAATCCAACCAGCCCAACTATCCAGCCTACACACTGGCAGGTGCCTTTCTGTCCAGCCACCCCTGCCCCTGTACTGGCTTTCATGCTCTCCAGTGGGAGTGGTAACCCAAGAGAGAGGTGCCCACTCTTTCCCTACTAGGCCACTCCCATTCCTGGGTTATGCACTCTCTGGAGTTTAACTTGACAGATTTAGCCCCCAGTGCCAGCCTCTACCAGCTGATGCTGCAGCAAAGCCCAACCAACCCACACCCACTCTAATTTATGCTTGCACCAGTCAGAGCAGTCAGCGGAGCCTGGCTTTTTTCTGATCCAGCTCACATAAGGCCCACAGGTGCTGTAGCCCTGCCTGGTCTGCCCCCATCCCAACTCATGCTCTCCAGTGGGAGTGGCTGTCTAGCAGGGGAGTCCACATTCCCCCTGCAGGCTTTGTCGCCTCCCTCCCTGGTTCTCATTTGTGCTGATTGGGCACTGTGGCCATATCTGGTATGGCTCACCTCACCTTGGCTTTCCATAACACGCACTGGTATGTATTGTGACCACATTCTGCTCTTATGCTCAGATTCGCCAGTGGCTAATGTGAACTGGTCCAGTCTGGTCTGCCCCAGACCTATGCCAAATGTATGCCAGTGGATATCTTTCTCTTGCCTTGTCTGGGTTACTCCCTATCATGGTTCTTGTGCTCACCTGCAGGGACTGTGTCCTGCCAGAAGAGTTGCCCAGGCTCCTCCATCAGAACCTCTCCCTATGCCAGATCTTGTACATACTGGTGGGTCCATAAGCCAGCCCTATTTAGTCCACCTCCTGCCTTGGCAGGAACAGTGGCCTTTCCTTGCTGACCTTCAAACCATTCTGGTTTTTACTGTTGGATATTTCAGCCCAGCCAAGGCTCATCCATACCCAGACACCGCTCACACATGGCTCAGTAGGGGCACAGACCTAGCCTCGTCTGTCCTACATCTACCCAGGTTCTCCAGAGCCTCAGATTGTGCTGGAGTCTGGCCCGATTAGCTGATTCCAGCCCCAGTTCACACTTGTGCCAAGGGAGTTTGCAGCCATATTCAGATGAGAATGCAGCCTCCACTCCAGCCACCTCACTCACCAGGGGGAAACCAGACCCAGCAAAGGTGCACTTTCACAGCCTCCAATCGGGTCTATTCAGCCCTAGATTATGCACATGCCAGTGGTTGCTCTGACCCAGTTGGCTTAGGCCCTTACCTGTCTCAGCCTTTGCCTTTGATTCTGTGGCCTAGTATCCCTGGCTCATGCAGACCAGTTGGTGTAATAGCCTAGCTTGGCCTGACCTGTGCTCCTTGTGAGTTGAGGTTTGCTCAGCCCTACCCGGTCCGCCCCCTTCCATTTGCAGCTCGACCCGCCCCACATCCTGTTTTAGGATGCACATTCGGGTGCTGCTGCCTTGACCTGCCCAGGCTGTTGTTGGTTCTGTAAGTGATGGTAGGTTCCATGGTCACACCTAGTTCAGCCCATCACCACCCCAACTCGTGAGCTAACCAGTGGGACTTGTATTTCCACAGGGTTGGGCCCACACTTCCCCCACAGAATCTTCCCTCAGACCTGCTTCTCTCGCGTGTTGGTTAGTGTCCTGACCCTGCCAAGTGTGACCCATCTCCCATTCCACCAATCAGTCAGGTACTGGTACCTAGCCCTGCCAGACAGGCCCCCAGCCATAGCTTTCGAGTGCACTAGTGGGTGGCAGTGATGCTCTATCCATCTCAGGACTCCCATGCAGGCTGGTAAATCAGTCTGGCCCAAATAGATCTTATAGACTCTCTCCTCCAAGCCACCAGGTCTCAGTCCCCACGCTTGCCAGAAAGTTCTGTGACCCCGTTGCTGGAAATTACTCAGAATTCATTCCTCACCTACACTCACATTGGCCTTATCTATGGGTGTCCCTAGGCAGCAATTACATACCCTTGCCACTGTACGGCCAGCGGGCAGAGCCTGGCGCCCAATAGGCGCACTGGCCGCCCAAAGCCTAGGACTTGGTCACCACTTGGCAGCAGTGACCATGGCCTGAGTCCCCAGCATTGGGTCTGGCCTGGCTGGGGCACCCCCTGTAGCAGCCATGCTGCAGGAGGCTCCTTTTGTCAGCATGATGCACTTTCTCCCCTGTCCCCAAGAGGCGACAGAAGGAAAAGGTGAAACCTTTATCTCACCCACCTTCCCTCTCCCCCAATCCTCTCCAACCTAGTTGGAATCAGAGGCCCACATGGATCTGAAACCTCCTCGCTTTTGTAATAAATATTAAATTTAAAAAGTTGTGGGAGGAACTGGTGCTATGACATGGCAGGAGGAGCAACACCAGCATCCCATATGGGCACCAGTTCATGTCCAGGCTGCTCTACTTCCCATCCAGCTCTCTGCTTATGGCCTGGGAAAGCAGCAGAGGATGGCCCAAGTGTTTGGGCTCCTATGCCCACTTGGAAGACTCCTGGCATTGGCCTGGCTCAGCCCTGGACATTACAGGAGTGAACTAGTGGGTAGAAGATCTCTGTGTTTCTCCTTCTCTCTCTGAACTTCTGCCTGTCAAATACCTAATAAATAAATCTGTGAACAATCATAAGTGAGAGAGCAAGGCTCTGGGCCCTGGAGCGAGCTGGCAGGGATGAGTGGCCATCCCAGTGCTGCTGAGGGGCAGGTTGTAGTTGAAAGGCTAGGAGGCAGGAATTCGGTCCTGGAGCAGTGAGGGCCAGTGCTGCTCTGTCCATCCAGTCAAACTCGGTATGCCGAGACACCGAGGAGGCAGGACAGACCAGCCCTGCACTCCTGTGGCCAACAGACAGATGACGTACGCCCAACTCTCAGCTGCAGCTGGTGCTGACTGGCTTTGTGGGGAGTCTGAACCATCGGGAGATGAACTGGAAGGGACACCACCGATCGGGGACCCTGCCTGGATAGGCCATTCCTGCGCACGCTCCAGACAACTCCCATCTCCAGCCTGGCTCACGGCTCCTCTGCCCAACCCAGCTGGGAAGAGCTGCAAAGACTCTTGGTGGGTAGTGGGAGGGTGAGAAAGGTCTCCCCTTTACTCTGGGCTTCTTTGGTACCGGGGCAGGGCCACTGGAGCACTTACCTGCCTGTACCAGCCGCTGGCACGAACAGAACACAATGGGAGGAGCACTCTCGCAGCATGTCCCTGCATGCCATGCCCTCCCAGCCTCTCCCCTTGCCAGCTCCCTTAATGAAGTCTCCAGATAGGTGGGTAGCTTCCTGGGGTGGGCTCTCTTTGGCCTTAGGCAGGGGGCTTGGGCAGGAGCCAGGCAACCAGAGGTTCAGGCCGAAGGGCCAGGTCTCTCCCCACCTCACTGCCCCTTTCTCTCCCTGGGAAAATAGTCTTGGTCCCTGTGGATGAGAGGTGTGGGGTGAGCAGGATTTGAGGGACTTGCTCTAGGCCTTTCTCCCTTAGCTTGAACAGGAGAAACTGCAGGCAGAAACTGGAATTGCAGGGAAGCTTCTGGAACCACAAGAGTCTTCTGGAACTACAGACTGCCTGCTGGAACCACAGAGAGGCTTCATTTGGCCACTTTCTCCAACTTGTATTTATTCCTCATGTTTAACCCAGGTCCAGCGAATATCCCCCTTGCCCTGCGACTGCCCCAAAACCTCATCTACAACCAGAGCATCCTCCTGCAGTTTCTGTCCCAGGTATCCTCTTTCACCACAGTGGTCCTGGGCACAGGAGGAGGCTGGGGTGTCCTGAGAAATGACAGACTGGTGGTTCCCCGGAACGACAAGTAGGTGCTCCTTCCCTTACCTGGAGCACCCTGCCACCCACACAGCTGGAGGAACTGGAGTGGCCCAGAAGAGCTGGACCCACCCCTGCCCTGTGCTCCTTCTGTTGGGGGGACTCCAAAAGATTCCCTTCTGTGGGTCAGGGTCCCAGGGAGTGAGAACAATGCCAGCCAGCCTGGCAGAGCAAGAGGGCCAGCAAGGGGCAGGGCCCGGATCCGGGAGCACAGTCAGGGGCCTGGGCGTCCCTGAAATGGGCCACCATGGGGCCTTGCTTTCATCCCCTGTCTGCCTCTCAGGGCCACCCTAGCCTTGGCCCTGCCTCCGCCCCCCCACCCCCAGCCCCACTTGTCCCAGCGCAGCAATTAGGGCGCTAATTAGATGCCTTTGATCATCTTTAGAAATGGCGGTAGAGGGAGGGGCCAAGCAATTAGGGGCAGAGAGCCTGGGATCCCAGCGGCTGCTTCTGCCAGGGAGGAGGAGCTGCCAGGGACCCCCAGACAACCCTGCCTGCTTCCCCCTAGCAGGGCCACCAGCTTCTCAGGGGAGGGTCAGAGAGATCGGAATCCCCCCATTGCATTCCCTGACCCTGGAGCCTCCACTGCCCCCCCCAATCGCCCTCCAGCCCACTGCCCGCCCCGCTCCCCCCTGTCTGGCCCCTAGCCCAACCGTCAGCTCCTCTTCCCGGCCCCAGCCCCTTTGATGCAGCCGAAGACACAAGGGCCCTTTTCACAGATGGAGGGGCTCCGAGCCGACCCATGGAACTTCAAAGGTGAGAGTCGAGTCCACTATCTCATCCGCTCTGCCCAGCCCTGGCCGCCTTCCCCAGCCCCTCCCGATCTTGTCTCTATATAGTCCTCCGCACAGCCCTGACCCGCAGGGCCAGGTGAGGGACGGCCCCAGGGAAGGGGTGGTTTTGATGTGGGGGAACTGGGTTAGAGGAGGCAGCTGACAAACAGAGTATCCAGGGGCAAGAGGGCAGACAGAGGCAGTGCCCTAAGGGTGACCCAAAGCAGGACGGAAGAGGATGGTTCTCCTGCCCCACCTTCTGGTCGCCATGCTGCCGGCTTTGCTGCTGTCACCGCTGTCTCCACACCTTTGGGCTGCACAAGGGCACCCCTTGTACATGCGCCTGCCCCCAGGCACCCTGCAAGGTGAGCCTGCACCTGTCAGAGGGAAGAGCTGGGGTGGCAAGTCACAGAACACAGGTCATGAGGTGTCGGGTAGGGAGAGAGGAATTTATATCCCCACTTGTAAGTGCCCAGCGCGCTGAGACGCCAGGGACTGAGACATAGACTGGAGAGGAAGGGACAGAGTGGGCTGCAGTGGGAAGCAGGGTTGGTAAGTGCTGCCGCAGGGCATGCAGGGAAGGTGGTGGACTTTGCAGGAAGAAGGGAACCCTGCACTACCGGGACGTCTGGAGGATGGCACTGTTCTCGCCAGTCCAACATCTGCTGCCCTGGGGCTCTCCCCAGCCTGCTCGCCCCTGGCTCTCCCAGGGCACAGCTAGCGATGGGGCCAGTGGAAGGACTAGGTGGAGATCTGGCATGACTGTGCGCCCCTGTCCCAGCAGTTCTGTCAGCCCAGGGCACGCAGGCGCTGCAGGCTGCCCAGAAGAACGCCCAGTGGGCAGTGAAGCGCGTGGCCATGGAGATCCAGCACCGACTGCAGGAATGCCAAGGTAGTGCTGCCCTCACCATCCCCAAGCAAACCTGTGCTCGCGACCCTCGACCTGCTCCTGCCCACCCTTACCCTGAGCTGTGAGAGGCAGGGGGCGTTAGGGAAGACAGGGTGACACAGGTATCTGTGGTGGACAGGGCGTGGCAGGTGCCGCAGCAGAGGGCCAGTGCTGTTTGTGCTGCCTGGGTCAGGGGTCCTGCTCAGGGTTCAGAGGTCTCTTTTTCAGCAGGACCTGGGCGGCCCCGACTACATGCCCGACTCTCGCAGGACCAGCCTGAGCCAGGTGAGGCTGAATCAGCCTGAGGGGGCAGGGCAGAGAGCAGGGTGGGCCTTGGTGCTGATGATGGCCAGAACCCGGCTCTCCTGAAGCTGCTACCGCCTTTTCTAGGGTCATGCGGCGAGAGGCGCCCCAGCACGGCCAATGTGACGCGGGCTCACGGCCGTATCGTCGGGGGCAGCGCGGCGCCGCCGGGGGCCTGGCCTTGGCTGGTGCGGCTGCAGCTCGGCGGGCAGCCTCTGTGCGGCGGCGTCCTGGTGGCGGCGTCCTGGGTGCTCACCGCGGCGCACTGCTTCGCAGGGTACGCCGAACCCCCAGCGCCCCGACCCAGCTCGGCCCCCCAGAGCCGAGTGGCGCACCTGCTGGGGATACGCCAGAACGCTGGTCTCTGCTGCCCCTTGGCGGTAGCCGGCGCGCGCCAGGTCTCCAGGCGTCCCGGGCCAGTCCTGGTGGGCGGAGGTCTTCAGGAGCGCCAGGTCTCCAGGCGTTCCGGACCACTCCTGGTGGGCGCGGGTCGCCCCTCTGTGTCCCCGGGCAGAGAAACATTGTTAGGGTCTCGGAGGCGGCGTGGGGGAAAGAGTTTAATTCCTAAGTCTCAACCGCCGCTCGCCCCGCAGCGCCCAGAACGAACTCCTGTGGACTGTGATGCTGGCCGAGGGGCCCCAAGGAGAGCAGGCGGAAGAGGTGCCGGTGAACCGTATCTTACCGCATCCCAAGGTGAGCGGGCTGACTTCGGGGTCCCCAGCTCTGGGTCCAACGCCCAGGGCACCACTCCTGGCTGACCTGGAGCCGCGTCTCCAACCTCCTCACCCCACCACCCGTCCCCCGCCCAGTTCGACCCGCAGACCTTCCACAATGACCTGGCGCTGGTGCAACTGTGGACACCCGTGACTCCGTCGGGGCCGGCGCGCCCCGTGTGTCTGCCCCAGGAACCGCGGGAGCCCCCCACAGGCACCGCCTGCTCCATCGCGGGCTGGGGGGCCCTCTTCGAAGGTACGTCTGGGCAGGGCCTGGGAGCCGCGCCCTGCAAGGGAAAGAGTGACGCTGGGGAAGAGAGGTGGGATTGCAGGGGGAGGGCGACCCTGAGAGCGGGGTCCAACAATCCTGGCCTGAGTGCCTGCCACTCCCCGCTGCAGACGGGCCCGAGGCTGAGGCGCTGAGGGAGGCCCGCGTCCCGCTGCTCAGCCCCGACACCTGTCGGAGAGCTCTGGGGCAGGCGCTGCGCCCCAGCACCATGCTGTGTGCCGGCTACCTGGCGGGGGGTATCGACTCGTGCCAGGTGAGCGCTCCCGGCCCCATTTACATCTAAGATGGGGCTGTCCCCTAATTCCTCGGAACCGCTGCATTCTGGCCTCTAAAACGAGTGCAGGGTTTGCCCGGCGCAAGCTGAGAACTCCGAGTGGAGACAAGCACTCACTCTCATTCTTACCTCCCGTTCTCTTCTCCGACTGGAAGGGTGACTCCGGAGGGCCCCTGACCTGCTCCGAGCCTGGCCCCCGCCCCAAGGAAATCCTGTTCGGAGTCACCTCCTGGGGCGACGGCTGCGGGGAGCCCGGCAAGCCGGGAGTCTACACTCGAGTGGCCGTATTCAAGGACTGGCTCCAGGAGCAGATGAACGGTAAGCACCCTCTTCCCGGCATCCCCGCCCGCTGCCCCGGCACCAGCCCGGGTCGCCCACCTGTCTGCTCTCTAGCCATTCTCAGTCGGGGAGGCGCGTCTCGCCCCGGCAAGTGCTGAGGAACCTAGGGGTGAAGGGGAGGTTGGGTGCGTGACCTGGCTCCTGCCCGGCCCACAGCGGTGCCCTCTAGCCGCGAGCCCAGCTGCAGGGAGCTGCTGTCCTGGGACCCTCCGGAGGAGCAGCAGACAGACACCACTCAGCTTTGCGCCTTCTACGCCCGCCGGTGTGCGGGGTCCGAGGGCGCCTGTGCGCGCCTGGCACACCAGCAGTGCCTCCAGCGCAGGCGGCGATGCGGTCGGTCAGGGGCTCTCCCGGGGCTGGGGCTGGGGCGGCGGCGAGGCCCACCCTTGGCCCACCTCTAACAGCCTCTCCGCTCGTCCTGCCCGCAGAGCTGCGCTCAATGGCGCACACGCTCCTAGACCTGCTGCGAGGCGCTCAGGAGGTGCTCGGGCCGCGCCTGGGGCTGCGGCGCCTGGCCCCCGCCTTGACTAAGCCCACCGCGTCGCTTCGGGAGCCTGCGCGGTACCCGGCCCGCGAGCAGCGGCTGCACGCAGGTACCCGAAGTCCCGCGGCCTGGCCCCACTGCACAGCCCGCGCCGTGACGGCGGCCCCCTAAGCCAGCGCCTCCCGCAGGGTCCTGGGCTGTGGGCGCGCGGTTCCCGAAGCGAAGGCCGGAGCAGCGCGGAGAGGCGAGCGGTACTGACGCCTTGGGCCGGCCCTTGGCAGGGGAGTCGCGGGGATCCGCCAGGGCCAGGGAGCTTTGGGGGTACTTGTGGCTGTGGGTCTTTGCCGATGTCTGAGGATGCTCTCCTTGGTGTCAGCTCAGCTTTCCTGTCTGTAGTAGAAGCAGCCAAGTCTGCCCAGCTCAGTTCTGCTATCCCTGGGGGCCCTGTCCCCTTCTACAGGCTGCCCTGGGCTGGAGTCCCTGCGACAGAAACTGGCCACCCTCCAGGGGACCCACGCCTGGATCCTGCAGGTCCCCTCGGAGCATCTGGCCATGAGTTTCCACGAGGTGGGTCGTGGGGCTGGGCAGCCACTTTACAGTGACTGGGCAGGCTGATGTGGTTGGGGCCTGTGCAAAAGAAGGACCCTACCTGGCAGAAGCCTAGGGCGACCCTGCCTGACTCTGGGTGAGCCAGGAGACCTGGGGGAAAGCTGCCGCTGTGTGCACCGGCACCTAGCTGGCATGAGTTGGGGACTGTGGCCAGATGGGCAGAAAGTCAGGGGAGGGGCACAGGCCTTGGTTTCAGGGGTGGCAGGAGAGGGGGGTGGGTTCCCTGATGCCCACTCCAGAGGGGTCTCCAGCCCCTGATGGTCCTCTCCTCCCCCTGCAGGTGCTGGCAGATCTGAGCTCCAAGACACTGAGTGGTCTCTTCAGGGCCTGGGTGCGGGCCAGCCTGGGGGGCCGCCACGTGGTTTTCAGCGGCCTGGTGGGCTTGGAGCCTGCCACGCTGGCCCACAGCCTCCCCCGACTGCTGGCACAGGCCCTCAAGGCATTCCAAGCTGCTGTCCTGGCAGACAGAGGGCCCGAGGGGGCCCCAGGAGGGGTGGGCTAGGTTGGGGGCAGCTGGAGGGGAGGCCCCATCAGGGAGGACCCCAGCCATCACCAAGAATGGAGCAAAGAAGACTTGGGGACCATGAAGGCAACCCAGCCCTGCCCAGTGGCTGGGAGAACATGGGTGGGGCTGGGTGGGGGTCTTCACAAGTGTGCTGTAATAAATGTTATTTATAATCCACCAAGACTTCTCTGGAGCTTTCTTAGGATGGGAACCAGTGGGTGGGCATCCGAAAAGGGCAACAGCTGGCCTGTGGGGGGGGGCCCCCATCATGGCACCTGGTTGACCAATAGAGTCTCAAGTCTCCACCCCACCCCGCCCCATCTCTCTCCCCTACCCCCAGCCCCTGGAGGCGCCTTGGGTACTGTGGGAGCTGCAGTCTGGGCTCTCTGCCTCCTACAGCTTGGCTCTGGGGTCAGGTGTCAGGTTCCATTTCCTGTGTCTGCCTTCTGTCTCTTCCCAGGACTCCCCACCCCCACCCTGCACCTGTCCCCCCTCTCCCTACCCTCATTCCACAGCCCTGCAACCAAAGAGGGGCAGACGCCAGGCCCAGCCAGAGGGGCAGGATGCAGGCGCCGCTGCTGCCCCTGGGGCTGCTGGCTGCCTGGCTGGTGTGTGGTAAGGGTGGACATCGCCCCAGCCCTAGAGGCCCCTTGAAAGCCCCACCCGGGTGGGGGTTCCCAAGGCCTAGCTCTCTTTCCGGAATCATACTCCCAGCTGAGCTTCAGAGACCTCATTCCCATGGAGCCATGGGTGCCCCCTGATCAGTCTCGCTGCCTGCCTTCGGGGGCCCCCTATCCAGCCCTGTCCCTGGCCCTCCCCAGGCAGCTGGGGCCGGAACGAGGAGGAGCGGCTCATCCAGTATCTGTTCACTGAGAAGGGCTACAACAAGGAGCTCCGGCCGGCGGCTCGCAAAGAGGACAGCGTGGACATCTCGCTGGCCCTCACCCTCTCCAACCTCATCTCCCTGGTGAGAGGCCCCTGTGACACGGGGTGGGGCTGGGGAGGAAAGACACCCCCCTTCCCCAGCCACCGTGCTTGTGTCCCTGCTTGCTGGAGCTTAGGGGTGTCCCTGCATCCTGCCCAAGACCCCAGCCCACTATACCAGAGCCCTTCACCCCTATCTGCTCCCCAACCTGGCTGGAGCAGGAGACTGACGGGCTCAGCGGCCATGATGTCCCCTGGGTGCCCTCCAGGAGTGGGTGCCTGACCAACAAGGCCCAGGCCTGAAAGACCACCCTCCTGTCTGATTGCAGAAGGAAGTCGAGGAGACCCTCACCACCAACGTGTGGATGGAACACGTAAGGGGGCTGTGCCCCTCAGAGTGGGGGTGGGGCGGAGTGCAGGCCCTGGGATTGCTCCGCCCACCCTGGACACTGACCACCGGGAGGGGCTGAGCTGGCACAGACTCCCAGAACAGTCAGCTATTGTCCACAGCAGAAACCACACGCCCCTTGTGCAGTGAACCCAACAGCCCAGAGCACACCTGTGCCCTTCACCCCACACTAGCCTCCTTCTAGCTTCTCTGATCATGGCCCCCAGACCCTGCTCTCTCTCCAGAGCAGCAGGAAGAGCGGGCGGCACAGAACCCACCACCTGATCGGTCTTTTGGGCTTCCAGGGCTGGACAGACAGCCGGCTACAGTGGGACAAGGCAGAGTTTGGGAACATCAGTGTCCTGCGTCTGCCCTCTGATATGGTGTGGCTCCCGGACATCGTGCTGGAGAACAAGTTGAGCCTTCTCTTCCTCCTCCTCCCCCTGCCTCCCCCAGTCCCACCTGGTCCCCCAGTGCTGACTGTGACCTCCGGCCCACCTCTAGCAACGACGGCTCCTTCCAGATCTCCTACTCTTGCAACGTGCTCGTCTATGACTCCGGCTTTGTGTACTGGCTGCCACCTGCCATCTTCCGCTCCTCCTGCCCCATCTCTGTCACCTACTTCCCCTTCGACTGGCAGAACTGCTCCCTCAAGTTCAGGTGCAGTTGCTTCCCAGCGACCATTCCTTGCTACCCGACCCCAGAACCCTGAAGGAGGGCTCCTCGGGCAGGGCTCCAGGACCCACATGGCCCTCTCTTTTATTAGCTGTGACTTGGGGGTCACCCATGGCCGGTGACTGTCCCTCCCCTTCTCTCCCGCACCACCTCAGTTCTCTCAAGTACACTGCCAAGGAGATCACCCTGAGCTTGAAGCAAGAGCAGGAAGAAGATGGCCGCACCTACCCCGTGGAGTGGATCATCATTGACCCTGAGGGCTTCACAGGTGCCATGGGCAGCCCCTGGCATAGGACTAGGGGCCACAGAAGTGGTCATCGGGCACAGTCCACCGAGGGACACTCACAGGTGGGCAGACCGAACCTGGCCCCGAGAGATGCACTGGCACTAAGACAAAGCTAGACTAGAACCGGAAGTTGCTCCCTGGTGTGGGCAGGCAGCCCTGGGGAGGGATGTGGCTGGATGTGGGCTGGGTGGTCCAGCAGAGTGGGTCTCTCCCTCCACTCCTATAACAGACTCAGATCTTCCCTGGAACCCGCATCCATCAGAAAGGACCCCGTGCCTGCTGGTCTGCAGGCCGGCACCTCACAGTGGCTGGGATGTGTTCAAGTCCCAAGCTTGCTAGCTTCCACAATGCTTTGTTTGCATCAGGGGGATTGCCACAGTGCCAGGGGGCCCTGCTTCCACGCGGCCTCTCTGGTCTGCACACACCCACCTTTCTAACGTGTGACATCTTTTTAGCCAAAGCATCCTCCTTTTTTTGAAATCAGCATGGCCTCTGCTTCCATTTCATTCAAGGAGAAGAAAATAGAAACAAACAAAACTGGCCACAGAGGAGGTGAAAACCTCTAGCCACAAGCAGGACGCAGCCGCCCGAAGGCCTGCACACAGGCCCAGCGTGCCCCCGATCTGTCCCACAGCGCCCCCCTTGCCACCAGGCGCCCCCCTTGCCTGCTGGCCTGACCTCATACTGTCCATCTGCTGCCCGCAGAGAATGGCGAGTGGGAGATAGTGCACCGGCCGGCCAGGGTCAACGTGGACCCCAGCGCCCCGCTGGACAGCCCCAAGCGCCAGGACGTTACCTTCTACCTCATCATCCGCCGCAAGCCACTCTTCTACGTCATCAACATCCTGGTGCCCTGCGTGCTCATCTCCTTCATGATCAACCTGGTCTTCTACCTGCCGGCTGACAGTGAGCTCGCCGCCTCCTGCTTGGGACTGGGGCGAGGGCTGGGCGGGCAGCCTGGGCAGGGGGAGGGGACTCCAGGCTCCCGGCAGGGGCCGTCCTGGACTTCTGCCTCTGACCCCGGCCTTCCCAGGGACATGCCTTGCCTTCTGGTTACCACCATGTGACCACATGCCTGGCACACAGGAGACCATCAGCTGGCCACCCAGGGGCCTCTAGCCCCCTAGGGTGTAGGCAGCGGATCAGTCTCTGGTAGGAGCCAGCAGTGCTGGAGTTTCAAGACATTTGCTATGAGCCTGACACAGTGAAGTGACAAAGGCCACTCAGCCCCTGTCCTGGTAGATACAGAACGAGGCCCTGCCAGCCATGTGGGACTGGGAGAGACTCATGCAGGAAGCTGAGGTTGCGGGGAACTATGCGAAGTGAGGCCAGAGGCAGGGGTCAACCATGGGCAGAGGAGGTCCCAAGGCCAGCATGGGTAGGAGCTCGGGCCCAGAAGAGCTAGGCTGTACCAGCTGGGCGGTCGTAGCATGAGGGTCGGTTCTTGGCTGTCATCCTGTGCTGAATCCATCCTGGAGCTTACAGATAAGATTTCAACTTTGGAAAAAAGGTGGGTGACAGGTGAATGGGGCCAACTGGTGTCTGCTGAGCACTTATCAGGTGCCAGAGGAGTGACGTGCGTCTAAAGTATGCTAGTCTCCCAGCGCTGGGCACAGAGCCTGGCTGCCTGCCCAGGGTGAGCTCAGCTAGTCAGTGTCAAGGCTAGGATTAGAACCCCTGGGCACTGCAGCTCCAAACTCCCATGGAGGCACCCTGGTTTCCTGGAGACCCTCTTGGCCCTCTGGCTCCCCCAGGTGGTGAGAAGACGTCCATGGCCATCTCTGTGCTGCTGGCCCAGTCTGTCTTCCTGCTGCTCATCTCCAAGCGGCTGCCTGCCACGTCCATGGCCATTCCTCTGATTGGCAAGTGAGTGGAGTCCCCACAGGGGGTGGGGAACAGGAGGCACCTGCTGGCCTCGCCGGCCAGGGGCTCCATATCAGCGTGCTGCCACAGGTTCCTGCTCTTCGGCATGGTGCTGGTGGCCATGGTTGTGGTCATCTGTGTCATCGTGCTCAACATCCACTTCCGGACGCCCAGTACCCATGTGCTGTCTGAGGGGGTCAAGAAGGTGAGTGTGCCCAATGGGCATAAGCTGGGGGTCGGCCAAAAGCACACAGGATCAGGAACACCACCCCAAAAGCCCCCCATTCTTCATGACCGGAGGATGTGTGACCACACAGAGGCAGGGACAGTCCCCCATGGCCCGGTCGCGTGGATGGGTTTCCCGGCACGGTGTTGCCAGGTACGCAGCAGCAGGCTACACCCTTCCCATGATGGATCACGATGGACGAGACCAACCTTTGGTGACAGACGCCAGGATGTTAGCCACCCCAAGGGACCCTGAGGAAGCCCCTGGGAACACTAAGTGCTCTTTAAAAACAGTTTGTTTATTTGCAAGTCAGAGTTGGAGAGACAGAGAGCTTCCATCGGCTAATTCGTTCCCCCCAATGCCCACAACATTCAGGGCTGGGCCAGGCAGAAGCCAGGAAACGAGTTCCATCCAGGTCTCCCATGTGGGCGGCAGTTGGGTCATCTCTCGCTGCTTTCCCCGGGGTGTGTGAGCAGGAAGCTGGAGCAGAAATAGAGCAGCCAGGGCAGGAACTGGGCTCTGATATAGAATGTGGGCACGGCAAGAAGTAGCAGCTTAACCCACTGCACCACAGCACTGACAGCTCCTGTCCATTCTTATGAGCATACGCTGCTCCTGGCTGGTGACACAGCCCAATGTCCGAGTGTGCCAGACAGCCTTTCTCGTGTCCCTGGGCAAGTGTGCCAGCCTTGCTCATGTCCCCGCTACCCTTCCACAGCTCTTCCTGGAGACCCTGCCCAGGCTGCTGCACATGTCGCTGCCGGCGGAGGCGGAGCCCAGCCCTGGGACCCTCATTCGCAGGAGCAGCTCTCTGGGCTACATCTCCAAGGCTGAGGAGTACTTCTCGCTCAAGTCCCGCAGCGACCTCATGTTCGAGAAGCAATCAGAGCGGCACGGGCTGGCCCGGCGCCTCACCCCTGCACGTGGGTCCTTGGGCACCCAGCCTTTGCGTGGGAGGTAGGAGATGGGTAGCATTCCCCGAATCCCCTTCTGGCCGTGTGTCCGTAGGCCGGCCCCCAGCAAGCTCCGAGCAGGCCCAGCAAGAGCTCCTCAATGAGCTGAGGCCGGCTGTGGATGGGGCAAATTTCATCGTGAACCACATGAGGGACCAGAACAGTTACAACGAGGTGAGTGTTTTCAGGGCCGCCATGGACAGATGTTCAGGTAGTGCACCAACCAAATGCATCCTGTCCCCACACGTAAATGAGTCAGTTCGTGGTGGGTACAGGGAGGGAACCCACGGGCTGGCCACATCAGGGACACCAGAGCACACTCCTGCCCCCACCCTATCCAGGCCACATGGTGGACATTCCTTAGGGGCCATCATTTCTCCCAGCTGCCAATCATTTTGGTCCCTGCCCACCTCCTCCATGCATGTAATTGTAACTCTTCAAGGTTCTCTCTTGAGAAAACAATAGCTTTTCTTCTGGTTCACATGTGGGCTAGCAGCAGCTCTGAGTGAGAGAACAGGGTCGGGCAACACACCCTGATACACTCCACCAAGCCCCTCAGGGAGCCCCCCTGGAGTCCTACAACAGAGAAGGTGGCTGTCCAGCCTGGGTTCCCCCGGGGGCATGCCAGCCCAGGACAGCTCCATAGCACATCGAGGCCGCTGCCTGCAGCCCTGGGCCCCAGTTTGCAGACTGGAGCTGTAGACCGAAGCTGACCTGCCATCACCCCACCTCTGTGTCACCCCACCCCCAGGAGAAGGACAGCTGGAACCGGGTGGCCCGCACTGTGGACCGCCTCTGCCTGTTCGTGGTGACACCTGTCATGGTGGTGGGCACGGCTTGGATCTTCCTGCAGGGTGCCTACAACCAGCCCCCACCGCATCCCTTCCCTGGAGACCCCTTCTCCTACAACGAACGGGACAGGCGCTTCATCTAGAATGGGGAGGGATGTGCAGGCTGAGCTGGGCACGGCTCTTCCAGGAAGGCTGCCTGGTTGGTCCTCTGAGGCTGGGGCCCAGATCAAGGCAGGGGGTGGCCCAGGCCTTGGCAGCAGCTCTGGAACAGCTCAGGGCAAGCAGGGGCAGGGTGCTCAGGTGTGGGGGTGCAGGGTGCCTCTTGGGCTGCCTCAAGGAGCAGCCCCCACTGCATCCCAACAGAAGGCCAAGTTTCTGGAGGCAGGTGTCTATGTGTGTGTGTTTGGTGGAGGGGAGGCAGCCTGCCTTCAGGAGGCCTCCACATCCCACCAGGGTTTGCCTGTGCAACTTGAGAGAAAGCAGTACGCTCCTGGATAAACTTCCAGAAAACACCGTGGCCTGTTTGGCTGCTGCACACACACCCTCCCTCTCCAGGGCATGCACCCTCTCCCTTTGGGAAGTCAGCTGTGGGGGCCTCCGGCGGGGCCTACGTGGCAGGCACTTAGGTCCTCCTGCCAGAAGCCATGCTTGGAAGTATCCCCAACCCGGCCAGCCCTCCAGGAAGGAGAGGCCCTCCGACAAGCTCACAGCCCCACGGCGGTATAACTGCAACCCCTGCGGAAGTCTCTGAGCCGGAACCACCGGCGAAACTGCTCCCGGACACCTGACACTCAGAAACACGATACAATAAACACGTGTGGCTTTAAGCAACCCGATGTTGGGGTGATCTCTGATGCCGGCAAGCAGGGGGATGTGGGCGGAGCCAGCAGGGCCGTGGGCGGGGCCAGTGATGACTTGCAGTCTGGCTGGCGCGGGGTGCTGCATACAAGGAATTGGCCAGCAGCAGGAAAGGCGGTCGAGGGAGAGGTGGCCGTTTAGCCCACTCCCAGTCTGCGCTGGATGATACACGCTGGTCTCCGTGGCTCTCCAAAGTGGTGGCCTATGCTGCTCTCCTGTTTCCTGGGTGACTGAGAGAGGTTGGTTGTGAGAGCCTCAGGCCTTCCCCTCCCCTGGACCAAGGTTCCCACGGGGAATCTGCGGCCTCCTTAGCTTGGATGCACACAAGTTGAGATGTATCATCTTTACATGCAACCAAGGTGGGGCAGGAGGAAGAAGTCCCAACTGAAACGTGTTGTTCCAGCCTCTGGTAGGCATTCCAGGTACAAATCTAGGTCCCCTCTTTGAACAGGTGCCTGCCTGGAGCCACGCCCCTACCCCAGTGCCTCTGGCTGCCTTGGCCCCACCAGCAGCACCCAGGAGCCTGGCCCGACTCTGCTCTCAGCAATGGGTTCCTAGGAAGCTGTAGGGGCATTCCTGTACCCTCTCTTGGGCTCACCCGACCCAGTCTGTTGCCACAACTCGGGCCTGTGCCTTCCGCCTCAGGTTACAAGCTGACTGCCACCTCACCACACTGCATCTATATCCAGGCATTCAATTTGTCATGGGTGTGCGTGCCTGGGTGCATACACACATGTATGCATATATCCACGTGCATGCGTGTACATGCGTGTGGCATGTGTGTGAGTGTGTGTGTGTGTGTGATTCCTACCAGAGGGAGATGTGGCCCCAGGAGCCTCCTCCTTCTAGCTGTGGAGAGAGGATAGATGCAGAGCTGTGGAAGCAGGTGGGGGGAGGTTTCTGCCTGGGCCTGGGGTGGGGCCAGAGCAGGTCCCCTCTGACACCACTGCCCATCACGAGGGTCTTCAGTCATCTTCAGCAAAGAGCAGGCTTGGGGGGCAGTGGAGAGACGAAGGGAACCAGCTCTACCCAGGGAAGAGGGGTTGAGTCTGGGGGCACCCGAGTGCAGGGCAGGATGGGGCTGAATTAGGGGGAGAGGGGTGTTTGTTCCAGAACACATGGTTGGGGGTGGTGTCCACAGGGAGGGGCACCTTGGGGACAGGAGTGAACCTGAGGCTGGAAGGCAGGCTGCCCACCAGAGAACACTCCCATCCCAGACCCCTGCTGGGAGTCTTGCCCTGGGGCCCCAGAAGGACTTGGGGTTGATTTTCAGCCAACTTCAGGGGCTAGGATCAGATACCTGGAAAGGTCCGGGGAACTCAATTTTCCAGCCCCACCTTCCCTTTGGGCCCCTCATGGGCCTCTGTCTCCCCGGGGTCCATCTGCCCTGCTGGACTTGAGTGTGCACAAGCACCCTGCTCATCCCTGGGCGCACACAGCCCCAGCCTCAGCTGGGTTGACTGCAGCTGGGTCCCCACAGTCTGGTAGATCATTTACTAAGAACCTGTCTCACCCCCAAAGCTTCCCAGGGCTGGGTTCCTGACTCAGGGCAGAAGGATCTGACCTGGCCCCCCAATCTTCATTTGGGTATCAGGCACCTGCCCCTCAGGGGCTTGGTCCACTGAAGGGACCAGGAAGAGAATACAGGGACAGAGATCTCACCTCCTAGGAGCCTGTCTCCCTAAATCCTGCCTGCCCAAGGGAGCAGGCCATGGGGCAGGCCAGCGCATTTCTGGCCAGCTGCCTTCTTGCCCATGCCCCCTTGTCCCTGGCCAGGCCCTGAACCTCTCTGGATCATGGCAGAAGATTGTGTCGCCTGAGTCTGCAGGGTAAGTGTCTCCATGGGGGCAGTTGGGGCCCCTCATTCTGGCCTGGTCCAAGTAACCTGAGCCCCACATTGTGTCCACTGTGGAACAGCTGACAAATGCTGCGGTTGGACAGCTGCTGGGGCTGGCCAGGCTGCCCGGGGGTGGGAGTGCAGGCTGTCACGAGATACCCAAAGCCCATCTCTCTCTCTCTCTGCCCCAGGACCTGGAGAGGTGCCACCCCATTCCTGTCCCTGCACAGAGCCAGGCACCATGCACAGGGAGCAGGCGTCACTGCTTCTCCTGCTGCTGTCGGCTAGCTGCCTGTGTGGGTGACACCAGGGACCAGGGCCTACGGAGGCTTCTGGGGATTCAGGGTCTGGAGGATGGGGACGGGGCCCTGGTGTTCTGCCGGTGTTCTGACACTCCCGGCTGTGCCTTGCAGTAGTCCAGGGCCGGAATCAAGAGGAGCGGCTGCTGGCAGACCTGATGCGGGACTACGACCCCCACCTGCGGCCCGCCCAGCACGATGGGGATGTGGTCAATGTCAGCTTGAAGCTCACACTTACCAACCTCATCTCTCTGGTGAGCCTGCTAGGGGAAGGGGGGGTCCTGTAGAAACCCCACAGAGGCTGGGGACCGCTATGGGGGTGGTGAGAGCCTTTGGGGCCTTAGCCCTCCTTCCTGTACCCCCAGAACGAGCGAGAGGAGGCACTCACCACTAACGTCTGGATTGAGATGGTAAGAGGCTCCTGCTACCTGCTCTGGTCTTGGTCTCAGCCAGGCCTGACCCTTCCCCACCCCTAGGGTAGACTGAGAGCCCAATCCCCACAACCACTCCCACGCCCCCGCAGCAGTGGTGTGACTACCGTCTGCGCTGGGATCCACAAGACTACGAGGGCCTGTGGGTGCTGCGGGTGCCGTCCACCATGGTATGGCTGCCGGACATCGTGCTGGAGAACAAGTGAGGAGAGCCACAGGCGGGGTGGGGGACCAGGCACCGGGGTGGGGCACAGTCCAGCAGAACCAAGGCGGGGGGGTCTGGGCAAAGAGGCAGGCACACAGCAGATGCAGGACGGGTGCCCTGCAGGAAGCGGGGGCAGGACTGGGTGGGAAGGTGCTGAAGGCTGGGCCCCCAGTGGTGGGGTCTGCCTCCAGGGCCACGAGGCTCTGGACCCACTGGCCTGGGCTGGGGCCCAGGAAGCAGATAGAAGACAAGACAGGCAGGTCAAGTGTTTCACTCATGGTGTGGCACCTTTCCAGAGCTTTGTAATTAGAGAAAGAGAAGCAGGAGACGGATGTGGGGAGCAGTCAGGGGCGTGGGAGCTGGAGGGGATCCCCACGGGGTAGGCTTGCCCTGAGGTTGCTGGGTCTGAACCCTCCACCTTGTGCACAGCGTCGATGGCGTCTTCGAGGTGGCTCTCTACTGCAATGTGCTCGTGTCCCCTGACGGCTGCATCTACTGGCTGCCGCCTGCCATCTTCCGCTCTTCCTGCGCCATCTCCGTCACATACTTTCCCTTCGATTGGCAGAACTGCTCCCTCGTCTTCCAGTGAGGCCACTGATGGGGAGCCACTCTGAGATGGGTCTGGGCTGGGGGTGGACACTGGGCTTCTGGCCTCAGTTTGGACGCCGCCTAGAGGCCTGGACTGTACCCTACATCTCAGGGCTTCTGTGCCCATCCCAGGCCAGACACCGCAGTCACCCCAGCCAGCTGGCTCACCCTCCTCCCCACCTGTGTCCTGCACACGCAGCCCACACAGCATGGCCATCCTGGGTGTAGGAGTCAGGGCCAGAGCCCCAGGGCTGCTCTGCAGGCCTTGCAGTGGGTATCCGGTTGGATTCCATGTCCTCTCCCTTAAAGCTGGGAGGAGGCTTCTTGAATATCAGACTAGGTGCAGTCTTTTCCCCAAGGAAACCCAGTGGGAAGACCCCATTGAGAGCTGACCCCTGTAGGGGTGGGGTAGCAGTAGGAGAGACAAACAGAAAGTGGTCCTGAGCTCTCCACCCTCTCTTCCCCCACTCCACAAAGAAAGCTGGGACCCTGGCCCACTACATGTCACCAGCAGGGTTTTATGGAGGGACTAAATTTTCTGAAGCTGGACCAGAAACGTCCTTGACCTTGCGGGTGGGTCTGACCTCCCACTCTGTACCACAGGTCCCAGACCTACAGCACAAGGGAGATTGACCTGCGGCTGAGCCAGGAAGACGGCCAGACTGTGGAGTGGATTTTCATCGACCCCGAGGCCTTCACAGGTCTCCTGCCTGCTGAACCTGGCTCCCAGGGCATTTGCCAGAAGCTCTGGCTTCCCTGATTCTGCGGGGGACGGGGAGGAGTGGGGTAAAGCTCCATTTCAGTGCCCCTTTGCTGCCCGCCTGCAGCTGGATCCCATGGGCTCTCTCCCTGTGCCCATGTCTGCAGAGAATGGCGAGTGGGCCATCCGCCACCGGCCTGCCAAGATGCTGCAGGACACGGCGGCTGAGGAGGGGGGTTCCCAGAAGGTGGTGTTCTATCTGCTCATCCAGCGCAAGCCCCTCTTCTACGTCATCAACATCATCGCCCCCTGTGTGCTCATCTCCTCCGTCGCCATCCTCATCTACTTCCTGCCAGCCAAGGGTGGGGCACCTGGAACCAGTGGGAGGGATGCCCCGCCCCAGTTCAGCAAGACATGGGCTGTGGGGGGCACCAGGGCCAGGGGCTTCCTCGGTGGGCAGGGGAAGTGGAGATCCACTCTGAGGGTCTCTCGGTCCTGGGCAGCGGGCGGCCAGAAGTGCACCGTAGCCATCAACGTACTCCTGGCCCAGACTGTCTTCCTCTTCCTCGTTGCCAAGAAGGTGCCCGAGACCTCTCAGGCAGTGCCACTCATCAGCAAGTAAGGCTGGTCCCATACCTGCCCACCCACTGCTGGCATGCCCTCCTGCCAACCACTTGCTCAGCATCCTGGGCACCCAAGGGGAGTGGCCACTAAAGGGGATGTGGGAAGCCTACGGCCACCCCAGTGCCACCTGCCTATCTCATCCTAACAGGTACCTGACCTTCCTGCTGGTGGTGACCATCCTCATCGTCGTGAACGCCGTGGTCGTGCTCAACGTGTCCGTGCGGTCCCCACACACACACTCCATGGCCCGAGGGGTCCGAAAGGCAAGGCCCCTCCCTGCCTGCCCCAGCATGCCCCTCCTAGTCTGCTCCCATGTGCTCCTCTGCACCCCGTGCCTGGCCACGTTCCTTACCTGTTGGAAACACATACCAAAATGCATGGAGAATGACACTGATCCCTTACGAAGCACCAGGGGTGTGCCAAATTTCATTGCTTAATCCTCATAAAGCTGCTAATAAAGAGTATTACCGCCAGCTCTATTGAAAAGGTGGGGAAACTGAGGCATGGGGAGGTTAAGCAGCTTGCAGAGAAGGGAGGGTGGGCAGGAATCCGTGAGCGCCTGTAGCAAGTGTCCTGGTGACTGTGACATGCACAGAAGTCTGGGGGCCCGGGCTCCAAGCCTGGCACACAACAGCCAAGCTGTTCCCCTAAGCAGCTGTTGCCCGGGCCCAACTGTGGCTCCCAAGCTCAGCGTGGCTGCCCAAGCTGAGCTGCCCAGAGCATCGTCCCTGCAGGTGTTCCTGCGGCTTCTGCCCCAGCTGCTGCGGATGCACGTCCGCCCCATGGCCCCAGTGGCTGTGCAGGACACCCGGCCTCGGCTACAGAACGGCTCTGCCCTGGGGTGCCTGCTCAGCAGTGGTGAGGAGGCGGGCCTTGGCCTGCCCCGCAGTGAGCTCCTTTTCCGGCAACGGCAGCGAAACGGGCTGGTGAGGGCGGCGCTGGAGACGCTAGGTAAGTCCTGGACTGTGACCTGGGAGATGCTCTGCTCAGCCAGGGAGCCTGTTTTCCTTTCTGTTGAACTCTCCACCCCATGCTACCAAATCTTGTCCTCCTTCCCCATTAGAAAAAGGCCCAGGGCCAGGGCAGAGCCAGGAGTTCTGTGGCAGCCTGCGGCAGGCCGCCCCAGCCATCCAGGCCTGTGTGGACGCCTGCAACCTGGTTGCCCGTGCCCGCCACCAGCAGAGTCACTTTGACAGTGTAAGTTAGGCTGGGATGGAACAGGACAGGCCAAGTACCTGGGCATGGCCTCAGACTGGGGGTGGGAGGGAATACCTGTGAGTATGTGGGAGGGGTTATGTACAGGGAAGTGGGGTGCATGCAAAAGCAAAGCTGGGGACAATGCTGGGGGACCACAGAGGAGGCCCAAGAAGACAAAGAATGGTGGCCTGCAGGAAGCTAAAAGGTTGGTAGAAGGAGCCAAGGACTGGCCCGTGCCCTCTGCGTTCACATCCTACCCTGTCCACTTGCAGGGCAGTGAGGAGTGGTTCCTGGTGGGCCGTGTGTTAGACCGTGTCTGCTTCCTGGCCATGCTTTCGCTCTTCGTCTGTGGCACCACTGGCATCTTCCTCATGGCCCACTACAACCGGGTGCCCGCCCTGCCATTCCCTGGAGACCCCCGCTCCTACCTGCCTTCAGCAGACTGAGCCTACCACATGCTGCTGGCCACCAGGAGTCCCAGACACAGGGAGGGACTGGGGGCAACTAGACTGGACCTCTGCTCCTGCCGCAGCCACCCATCTGGTCTTGAGGAAGTGCCATCTGGTGCACTAGGAGCCATAGAGCCCTGTACAGAACTGGGAAAATAAAAATGGCCATGGCCAAGTTCCAGTGGTGCCTTGGTTGGGGGATGGGCTGTGGCCTGGGTGCCCTGTGGGGGTGGATAACCACAGGACCTGGCTAGCTCCCACCCCTCAACAGGCCCTACCCAATGTTCCATATAGGCAAGTGGCGGGGGGGTGGGGGTGGGGAACCGCTGAAGGCCTCCCAGAACACTGTGGGTACAGTAAGCTTCAGAGGTTAAAAAAAAAAAAAAATTAAGATTTATTTATTTTTATTAGAAAGGAAGATATACAGAGAGGAAGATCTTTTGTCCAAGGGTTCACTCCCCAAGTGGCCACAACGGCTGGAACTGACTCAATCTGAAGCCAGGAGCCAGGAACTTCTTTCGGGTCTCCTACGTGGGTGCTTTGGGCCATCTTTGACTGCATTACCAGGCCACAGGCAGGAAGCTGGATGGGAAGTGGGGCTGCCAGGATTAGAAATGGTGCCCATATGGGATCCTGGCACATTTAAGGCGAGGTACATTCTAGCGCCAGGCCCCAGAGTTCAAAATTTTGACCTGAGCTCAGATACTCAGATTCCAGGGCTTAAACACACACACACACACACACACACACACACACACACACACACACACACACACACGTGCGCGCACACGCCTCTTCCCTCTCCTCCTGAAGGCCAGGCCATTTAACACAGTCCCCAGTAACGGTTAAGACACCTGAAGAGAGAACAAGGATTCCTGGGGTGAGCAGAGGGGGCCCAGCCCAGCTCTGACTTCCTGAACCTGTTTCCTGGCCTGTAAGTAAACACGGGCACAAATCTGAAGATCCAATGAGCAGGTTAACGGGAACTAAACACACTTTCTCCTCCGCGTAGGGTCGCTGGGAGTGGGCTCAGCCACCAGTGGGTGCACTTTATCCATGCGTGCACAGGCTGTGCCTGGCGCAGGGTCCGGGCTCCAGGTCCCCAGAGTTAGCAGGGTGAGTTAGCATTGGGACCATTTCAGGTCCCCAGCGAGCCCCTATTCTGCTCTGCAGGGCGGGATGCCCACCCAGGCAGGGCCAAGCCAGGCTGTTGCTGAGGCGCTGTCGTGGGCACCGGGCCAGGGGTTCTTGGCAAGCACCCCCTGGGGTTTTTGGCTTTTGCGTGTGTATTTTTTCAGAACAAATTTTCCACTTCGGTTCTCCTTCTAAGAACCGGGGCTCTCCCCTGCCCCGAGTCTGCCGACTCAAAACGCTTCGGTCCTCACGCACACACACACACACACACAACCAGGCCAAACCCGGCCACCATGTCTCGAGGCGGCGAGAGTCGGAAAGAAACACGAACAAAGTTGCGCAGGTGACTCCGCCTTGGGCAGGTGCACCAGGCAGGGACGCGTGGCCTGCACTGCCGGGGCTCTATCCAAGCCATGACGGTCCGCGCCTTTTCCTTCCGAGCCATGGAGGGCAGGGCTCTTTCGCGCAGACGGAAGGGTGGCCGCAGGCAGGAACGAGATGGGAGCGCTGAGGGACACGGCTGCCGCCAGGGCCAGCCCCGCGCCTGCCGCCATGGCGGCGCTTCCGCGCAGCCGCCCTGGGCCGGCGTCCCCTGGATCGCCGCCCCCACGGGCCCGACGCGCCGACGTTCCGCGGCGCCTCGCACGACCGGAAGTGGCCGGGCCCGAGCCGGAGGGACCCGGTGGAACGGAAGTCCCTGGGAGAATCTGTGGCGACAGCGGCGGCGAGAGGATGAACAACAAGTTCGACGCGTGAGTGGCGCGTGGCCGTCGTCGGGGGTCCCTTCCCCGCAACCGTTCCCTCACGCCCGCGCCCCCGCTCCCAGCTGGGGCCGGAGGCGGTGCCGACTCTGCGGTTCTGAAGGGCGTTGCGGCTGCGGCTGCGGCTGCGCCCGCCTGGGCCGGCGGAGCGGGGTGCGCTGTGCCGGGTGCTGGGGACCCCGGGCGCACCCCACTCTGACCCACCCGCCGGGGCTCCGGAAGGAGGAGGTTTGCGGGCGGCCTGCCCCGCTCCGCCCCGGGGGCGTTTGCGGGTGGCCCTCGCGCACGGCGTGGAACGTGGGGGTCACTGCGTCCCCCCGAGGGTCGGGCAGGTGCCGGCGCGCGTGTGGCTCGCCTCGGGGAGGACGGGGGACTTGCTCCGTGGCGGAATTGCCGGCCACTTCCTGGACTCTCCCTGTTTCCTTCCTCCTCTTCCTCCCCCTGCCGCAACCTCTGATGCCTCCAACCCATCGGTTCTTGTGTTCTTAGTGTCTGTGGATAGTCTAGAAAAAAGAAAAAGATGTATTCAAGTCTCCGTTGTTCCAGGCCCAGCGTTCATATTTGTTGGCCCGGCGCCGTGGCCCCACGGCACGGTCGTGGTGGGTCCCAGGGAGGGCTGGGTGGGCACAACGCGGCAGCTCCCACTCCTCGTAATGGGTTTGGAACTTGCGTGGATTTTCAGAGTGAGGTGATGGCAGTGGAGAGCGGAGACACGGTTCGCTTAGGTTGCGACCCGGTGCTGCTTGGAGATTGTTTCCAGCTGGCTAACACCGGCCTCGGTGGTCTTTTGGGGCCTCTCAGACCCGCTATTTAGCAGCTGGGAATTCATGCTGCTGACGGTGGTGGGTCCTCTGGCTCAGGCCGACCGGACCCTGGAGCCATGAGCCTGGCAATCCTGGGGCTGCCTGGCAATCCTGGGGCTGCCTGGCGGCTTGGCTGCTTGCAGGTGCTTTTCACAAGCCAACAGCTCTGCTGGAGGGGGGTAGTATCTTGTTCCCCCTTTTCAGAGTTGGGAAACGGGTTTCTCCAAAGTTAAGGCACAAGGTGAACCATCCTGGGTTTGCTGTTGAACCCTGGTCCCAAGGCTTTGGGCCGTCTTCCGCTACTTTCCCAGGTCATAAGCAGGGAGCTGGATGGGAAGTGGGGCAGCTGGTCATCCACATGGGATCCTGGTGCTGGAAGAGGGAGGAATAGCCAGCTGAGCTATTGCACTGGGTCCAGCCTGGTCATCATTTCTAGTGTTCAGCTCTTGCATGAGTGAGGATCTTTGAACATCCATCTTTTTCTTTTTTAAGATTTATTTATTTTTATTACAAAGTCAGATATACAGAGAGACAGAGAGGAAGATCTTCCATCCATTGATTCACTCCCCAAGTGAGCGCAACGGCCGGTGCTATGCCGATCCGAAGCCGGGAGCCAGGAACTTCTTCTGGGTCTCCCACGCGGGTGCAGGGTCCCAAGGCTTTGGGCCATCCTTGACTGCTTTCCCAGGCCACAAGCAGGGAGCTGGATGGGAAGTGTGGCTGCCAGGATTAGAACCAGTGCCCGTATGGGATCCGGAGGCGTTCAAGGCTAGGACTTTAGCCGCTAGGCCACGCCGCCGGGCCCTGAACATCTGTCTTTAAGCTTTACAGGGGAAAAAACTAAGCAAGCTTGAAGACAGCACTTCTGCCCTGAGAGTTGTTTTGTTGTTGCTGCTTTGATGCCCCTGCAGTCTCTGGGCCCTGGGCTGGAGGGGGTCTCCCAGGCTCCTCCTCCCAGCTGGAGCTGAGCCTGGTGAAGCCATCTGACGGGCTCAGATGGAAGAGGAGCGCACACGCACACACATCTGGCCAGCTTCCCTTTCAGACACACACTCCACCACCCCACGTGGCCGACTTCCCTTTTCTGCATGTCACTGAGGTCGCTTTGCCTGCCAGGAGGAGCAGCGAGTGGTGGGGTCTGGTGCCGTTGCTCACATGCCTAGCCCTTAGATGTGTTGGAGGCGCTGCTTTTTCTGACTGTAAGAAACTTGGTCGTCACGTCTTGGTTTTCTCAGGACCAGGCATGGCTTTGTCCCTGGTTGCTATTATTTACTTTTCATCTTCAGCGTAAGCTGTTCTAAGCTGTTAGCGCAGTGTTAAGTGTTGTGGGGACCACTTTCATTAGGCACTCAGTGCTTGGATTTTAGAGGTCTGTCCCTTGCCCAGATGGCCATTTGACCCACTGTCCCACCAGAAGGGGTTGTTCTTGTTCAGGGTGTGAGAAGACTTCTGGGCAGAGCCTGATGAGCGGAATCAGGTGCTTCTTGGTCTGCGCGGCCTGCGGGTTGCCCGTTGCTCCTTCCGGGTCTGTGGCATGGCTTTCCAGCCTGCGTTGTGTTTTGGCTTCAGCCCAGTTTCTAGCTGGAGAGTCACTGCTGGCAAGCAGGTTCCCGCTGCGGTGGGGCGGGGGCATCAGAAAGCAGGATGGTTGGTTAGCTCCACGCTGGAGAGCTCTGAGCCCTGCATGAAGTCCCTGAGGAGCCTGGCGGTGGCAGGAAGTGTGGTCCAGGAATGGCAGTAACATTGTTTCTGCTCTGATCATGCTTTCCATGACTCCCCATATCCTACTAGTGGTTAGCAGCGAAACAGCTAAAAAGAAAGGAGCTTATACTGCTCCTGGGGCTGGGAAGGTTGGGAGTGGACAGTGTCTGTGCTGTTCTCCAACTAAAATCTAACAGGGAGAGCTAAGAAGACTGGTGGACATCTTGAGGTGTGTGGCCTGTGGGAGAGTTAGGGGCTGCCTTGGGCCTATGGTAGAAAGATGTGTGAGGTGTTCTGGGGGGGAAAAAATGGCCCTAAGAAGAGGAAGAGAGAGGGAACATCTCCGAGTCTAAAACTTGAGTAGGAAGCCAACTGGGCTCTTGGCTCTTTGCTGAGGTGCCCACTCGCTCTGTCAGGCATGTTCTTTAAACCTTGCTAGCATGCTCGCAATTGATGGACAAACTGAAGGGCCGTGGAAGTGTGGAAGGGCAGCTGGGCCAAATGCAGACACAGCTGAGGAAGTGCAGAGCCAGGGAGCCTCACCCAGCCTAACCGGGAGAAGGTAGGAAATGTTTCAAAGAGAAATGGCCTCTAGCTGCACCCTGAAGGCCAAGGTGATGAGGGCTTCTGGGAGGGGCGGCTCAGGGAGCTGGCGGGACCAGGCAAGAGGGGAGCTGAGGGTCTCTGCACCTTGTGAGGTACAGGAGTGTGTGTCTTCTCCCCCGGGTGCGAGCCGCGCTATAGTAGCCAGCACATGCAGTAGCTGCTTGGGAAGTGCTAGTGGATTGCCGCCTGCGTAACTTGCGTACTAAGTAGAGTCCTTTCAAAGAGGAAACCAAACCAACTTGAGTAAAGGGGGAGGGAGTATCAGAGGAATAGACAGTGGTCTCCTGGAAGTCCAGGGAGGCTGGCCTAAGCCTCAGGGACATAGCAAGAGCTGCCCCACCCAACTCTCCTCTCTACTCTGTCCCCCATCCTTCTCTCTCTCTCTCTGAACTTCCTCTGATCTTTGGTTGTGGGTGCAGTGCAGAAATAGGAATCTTTTTTAGTGAGGCCCTGATATGGGTGATGCCCTCTAGTCCAATGCCCTTCCTGGCCGAGTCTTGCCAAGGTGGGGACAGGGTGGTTCCTGGCACAGAGTCTGGTCACCTGAGTGTATCAACGGTGGAGGCTATGAAATGGGCAGGGCAGGTGCCCAAACGCATACCCATCTCATCCATTCTGATGGGTTCCTAAAATGTAATTAATCCAAAAAGACAAAGCAAGGGAGCAGAGAGGAGAGATCTTCCATCTGCTGGTTCACTCCCCCAAATGCCAGAAGTAGCCAGACCTGGCCCAGGCTGAAGCCAACAACCCAGAACTCAGTGGGGCTTCCCGGGGGCATGGCAGGGAGCCCAATCCTTGAGCATCCCCTGCTGCCTTGAAGGGCAATGTGTGCGTTAGCAGGAATGTGGATCAAAAGAGGAGCAGGAACTTAGCCCAGCACTCCGGTAGGGAGTGGGTCCTTTCTGAGTGCTAGGTGCTGAGACTCATGGGCAGAAAGAAATTGCAAACAGAGTCCCCTCCACGGTGTGTCTGCATCTGTCTGGGTAGTGTCTGAGTCAGAGTGGAGCATTTGTGGTCCTTGAGAATTGCCCAGTTTCTTTTGTTTATGCCTCTAGTCATGGGTCCAGGAGGAGGCTTGGGAATAGAGGTTGATTTCGCTGTCTCTGAGTTCACCCTCCTGGTCTCTTTCTCCAGTCCTGGGGAGTTAGATTTGTCCCTGGAAGTCTTGGTTCGCCATTCCTGAATGGCAGCCCTTGAAATGCCCTGTGCTTGTGAGGCAACAACGCTTGCATTCATTCTTTCAGGCGTGTGTTTTTCCTTCTTACTAAATGTCCGCTCCGCATCCTGTCATTTCTGTCAGGGCTGAGGAGAACTGAGAGGCTGCGGTGGAAAGCCTGCATCTCGTGGTAGGAGCACTGTAGATGGCAGCAGTGGGGCGTCCGGGGCGCGGGGTCGGAGATCCTACAGGATCTTCTGTTCCCTCGTCCTCCACCCTCACAGGTGAGGGAGTTGAGCACCCTGAGGATCGAAGTCAGGCAGTCAGGTGTGCATTTAGAGAGATTGCAGAGGTGGAGGGTATGGAGGAAGGAGGATGGATGGAGAGCAGTGAGGGGTGCCGGGGCACCCCCAGGCTGAGGGGGGAACGAGAGCGGTGTGCCCTCGATCAGTGAGATGTGACCTTGAGTTGAAGTGCCAAAGCAGAAGCTCTTCTCGGTGTTGACTGTTTCTGCTGAAGAATCACTCTTTTTTTTTTAAAGACTTATTTTATTTTTATTGGAAAGGCGGATATACAGAGAGGAGAGACAGAGAGGAAGATCTTCCGTCCAATGATTCAATCCCCAGGCGGCCGCAACAGCTGGAGCTGAGCCAATCCAAAGCCAGGAGCCTCTTCTGGGTCTCCCACGCGGGTGCAGGGTCCCAAAGCTTTGGGCCGTCCTCGACTGCTTTCCCAAACCACAGTCAGGGAGTTGGATGGGAAGCGGGGCTGCCCGGATTAGAACCGGCGCCTATATGGGATCCCAGGTGTGCAAGGCGAGGACCTTAACCACTGCACCATCGCGCCAGGCCCTGAAGGGTCACTCTTGAATTGTCTGCCTTCAACAATCCCTTTAAATGCTGCTTTAGGTGGCTTTCTGCAGCTCCCGCCATGCCCGGGAGGCAGCTCAGTCTGGTTAATTTTCCCAGTTTGCCCTTCATCGCTCCTTTTCCAGCCTCATCTCGCGTGTGTCTCGTGGCCTGCACTTGGAGTGAGTTCCATGGCAGGTGGCTTTGGGAGGTGAGCAGGGCTCTGCTTAGCTGTGACATGGTGTCTGCCTTTCCATGCAGCCTGAAAGATGATGACAGTGGGGACCACGAGCAGAATGAGGAAAACAGCGCACAGAAAGATGGTGAGAAGGAAAAGGCCGAGCGGGAGAAGGGCCAGGGCAGCAGCAAGCGGAAGGTGAGTCGGCTGTCCTTGCACTTGGGGCTTGTGAGCTCATGGGATCTGCCTACCTGGCAGGTGGCACCAGCTGGGGAGTACCTGACAGTGATTGTCTCAGGGACAGTCTGCGCTGGAATCCACTGGCCAACATGAGAGGGTGGAGACCAAGAAATGAATCCGTTTTCTTCCTTGAAGTAGAAGGAATCATGCGTTCGCAGGCTGAAGGAAGAATTGCTCTCCACGTCAGCATTTGTCGCTAGACGCTGGGGCCGCAGAGCTGCAGTGGATGGTAGACCAGGGAACTTGGCATTTATTACTGACTCTTTGCCTGTGTGTGTGTGCACAGAGGACGAGACAGACACAGGTAGGCAGATGGTGATCTCTCCATTAACTCACTCCCCAAATGCCCAGAACAGCTAGGAGTCGGCCAGCGTGAGGCTAGCAGCCAGGAATTCGGTGTAGGTGGCGGAGCCCAGGCCCTTGAGGCATCCCTGCCGCCTCCCGGGGTCTGTCTCAGCCAGAGCTAGGTGGCAGTCCCAGGTGTGTGAACAGGGGGTGTCGCTGGCTTCACCAGCTGGGTAAGCACCTTTCCCCGGGCTTGTACTTGATGTCAGCAGAGTGCACAGTGGCTGCTGCTTCCCTGTTAGAGCTACCAACTCGTTGGATCCTCTCAGCAACCGTGTGAGGTGGCAGTTGTTTTCCTCAACCTGCAAATAAGAAATTGAGATAGAAACAGTTTAGGCAGCTGACCACTGGAGAGCGGGGAGGAGCATCATGGCATGGAGGAGGAGTGGTTGGGTGTGCGGGAGGAGGTGAGGTGGGAAGTTAGAGAGGCCGTAGCAGTGCTGAGAGGGGTAGGGTCACCTAATCTAGGCTTGCTGAGCCTCTCTGGAAGTTGACTGTACATATGGACGCATGGACAGGTGCTTGTAGTTAAGTTTATGTGCTTTTTTAGTTGTGGAGGTGGTGAATGGTGGCACCGTGTGATACACACCGGGGCTGACATGCCTTTCTTTCCTAGGCTGTCGTCCCTGGTCCAGCAGAGCACCCGCTGCAGTACAACTACACTTTTTGGTACTCGCGGAGGACTCCTGGCCGGCCCACCAGCTCCCAGAGCTATGAGCAGAACATCAAGCAGATCGGAACCTTTGCTTCTGTGAGTGCGGAATGGGTGCAGGGGGCGGGCCTCTGTGAGTGCGGAATGGGTGCAGGGGGCGGGCCTCTGTGAGTGCGGAATGGGTACAGGGGGCGGGCCTCTGTGAGCGCGGAATGGGTGCAGGGGGCGGGCCTCTGTGAGCGCGGAGTGGGCGCAGGGGTCGGGCCTCTGTGAGCGTGGAGTGGGCGCAGGGGGCAGGCCTCTGTGAGCACAGAGTGGACACGGAGTGGGCACAGGGGGTGGGCCTCGTGGAACATCCAGCCTGGCTTACATCCTGTTCACTCTGCTTTCCCTGGCTGGCTGACCCAAGTCCCCAGGGTCAGATATGTTGGTTCTTAGGTTTCTCATCGACACCCATAGTTAACATGTAGGTGTCAGGTATATGAGTTGTAGTACTGACCAGAAAGGCATAATTTTAAAAGCACAGTTTTTCCTTTGTTTTTGAAGTAAATTTGGAGTCCTTGTAATTAGCAGTGTCCTGGGACGTGTTGAGTTTTGTAGCACTTAGATGCATCCAGCTGCATGGAGTTACATGGGGAGGCAGCGAGGCCTTCAAGTTGCCCTTGCATTTCAGAGCCCCCCCACCCTTCGGGCTCTGGCTGTGTGTCTGATATGCCATGAACTTTTTTCCCATCTTTCCAAAAGAGATTGAGCTCCCTGGTCGCTGTTTTAGGGACTGCTGTCATACAGAAGCCCAGCCTCCATGTCATCCTGTGCTGGCTTCTCCGGGAAGCTGTCTGCAGCCGACACCGTGCCATCCAGCAAGCTCATCACTGGCTGCTCTATGCTCTGTGTCCCACCTCTAGGTGGGTTCATGTGCAGGATCTGTGGTTTTCTAGAAACTGCTGAGGTTGATTACGTTTGAAATGCAGATACTGCAGAAGAATATTATAATAGACAGTGATCATTACAGTGAACTGGTAAGGAGGAAGGTGCCAGGCATCGGCTGTTTGTGTAATCTTCAGGCATGCCAACCCGATGAGGTTGGTGATCCTGCCCATGTTTTACCCTTCAGGACAGTGTAACTGGGATTAAATGCCTGAAAAATGTTTATAAAGATTTGTTGATTTGTTTGAATGAGTTACAGAGAGACAAGAAGAGTCAGACAAGGAAGTTCTCCCTCTACTGGTTTGCCCCCCAGATGGCCACAATGGCCAGGGCTGGGCCACACCCAAACAAGGAGATTTTTCTAGGTCTCCTCTGTGAGTGCCAGAGGCCCAAGCACTTGGGCAAAATTTCTTCTGCATTTTCAGTGCATTAGCAAGAAGCTGGATGAGAAGCAGAGCAGCCAGGATGTGAACCCTGACCCGTGTGGGATGTTGGCATTGCAGACCATGGCTTTCCTCACTGTACCACGGCACCAGTCCCAGGGAGTCAGTCTTGAGTGAACCTCAGGCTGGGTTGTCAGAGCTGAAAGCAATGAGCAGCGGCTCACAGTTGTTTGTGACACTTCAGAGGAAGCCTGTTTGTCAGTGTGAAGGCAGCTGGGACCGCCCCGGCCGTAGGCTGCCAGCTCAGCGCTGTGCTGCTGTCATGCTCACAATAAGCAGGAGCCCTGGTCACCAGTTACGGGTGTCTGTTTGATCTAGCAGTGCAGCAGGAGAAGCGTGGCACATCCCAGCGCGTGGAGCCATCTTGGAGGATGTGGGTTTAGCATTAAAGTTAAAGAATTTGAACAGATGAGAAATTCTCGGCCAAGGGAATAGTGGAATGAAACTTGGGAGATGTATGCTTCTGCCAGCAGTGAATGCATCTCAGTGCCGTGGGAGCGCTGGGCATGGCAGTAACTGGGCCGCCCTGCGCCGTGCTCTGAGTGACGGCCAAGGCACTTGGAAGGGCAGAGAAGCAGCTGGACTAAACAGCACAGTCCCATCATGAATCCTGCTAAATTATTCTAGAAAAGATATGAATCTTTCTATCATTTTAATTTTGCTCCTAAAAAACGAAAATAAAAACAGAAAAGCATATATAAACGTGTAAATTTACCCAGTTTGTACAAGGTAGGTTTTTATTCTTTGCTTTGAGCTTGTGTGTTAAAATTCAGCACCTTCCTGAGTTAACACTGCTTTGGGACTCGCTGTGCCTAAGCTTACCAGTGCTTAAATCCACTATCCTATTACTGGGTGTCTTAGGGAATGTCTCACTGTGTTAAATTGCCCACAGAGAAATAATTATATGGTGAAACATTATCAAATATAAAGTAGTATTTCCCAATTTTTTTTTAATGATGCCCCCTACCACTGTTATTTGAGGAAAGGTGGTCATACACTTTTTTTTTGAAGATTGATTTATTTGAAAGTGAAAGAGATTCCGTTCTCTGGTTCACTCCCCAGATGACTGTAGTTTCCAGGGCTGGGCCAGACAAAGCCAGGTACCAGGAGTTTCTTCTGTTCTTCCACCTGGACACTCGGGCCATTCTCTGCTGCTGTCTGTGGCACATGCGTACGGAGCACCTGGACTCAGTCCGCTGCTCGTATGGGATGCCACTATCACAGGTGGGGGCTTTACTTGCTATGTCACAACGGCCCCTTTGCAGTGATTCTTTTTTTTTTAAGATTTATTTATTGCTATTGGAAAGTCAGATATACAGAAAGGAGAGACAGAAGACAAGATCTTCCGTCCAATATTCACTCGTCAAGTGGCCTCAATGGCCAGAGCTGAGCCAATCAAGCCAGAAGCCAGGAGCTCTTCCGCGTCTCCCACGTGAGTGCAGGATCCCAAGGCTTTGGGCCGTCCTCCACTGCCTTCCCAGGCCACAGACAGGGAGCTGGATGGGAAGTGAGGCTGCTGGGGTTAGGCCCAGCACCCATATGGGATCCCGGAGCGTGTTCAAGACAGGGACTTTAGCCAGTTGGCCACTGTGCCAGAACACCACCACCTCCACCCGCTCCCCACCCCCCGCATGATTCTTAATTCTGATCTTTAGCAACCTTTTGACACGCTTGAAATCTGGGCGACTGGGAAAGCAGTCTCTTGAGAATGGGAGCACTAGACTTGAGTTAAGGGGCTGGTGTGTGCTGGTGCTGGACTCTGGGCTGGAGTGAGTCCAGCAGTTGTTTTCTCAGTGGTAAGATGGGGAAGTGTCACTGGGATGGTTTCTCACCTCCTTCTTGGACTATAAGCGGGTGTTTGATTTCAAGTAGGACTTTCAGAAGAAATGTTTTAACATTTACCAATGTTTCTTCAATGTGCTTACTTCAGCCTCTCATTCTTTGGATATGACTGTAGGCTTTGGCTGTAGTGAGGTCAGAGGCCAAATTGTTAAAGCAGTTTTGTTGTTGTTTTTTGTTGTTTTGTCTGAAAGAGTGCCAGATCTTCCACCCGCAGGTCCACTCTCCAAATGCCTGTGACGGTGTAGCTGGGCCAGGCCAGACCTCAGAGCCAGGAGCTTCATCTGGCTTTCCTACGTGAAAGGCAGTGGCCCAGGTGCTTGGGGCAGTTGCCTCTGCTCTCAAGGTGCATTAACAGGAAGCTGGATTGGAAGTAGAGTAACCAAGACTCAACCCAAATGGTCGCTTAACTAGCAGTGCCAGCAGTTGTTGACTGGGGAGCTGGGGCCGATTGGTACGCTTTCTCGCCATTGTGTGCCTCCAGTTCCTGATTGACATGAGCCCCTCTTGGTAGTGAGCGTCCTGCGTGTCTTCCGGCCGTGATCTCGTGAGCAAAGGCTTAGCTTACTGCTCGTGTACATGTACGTACATGTGTGTCCTTACGCCAGGTCACTGCGTGCAGGTAGCTCAGCAATTGCTGAGATAACAGGCTGTGTCCAAGTTCACAGCATGACTTCTGTGTTTCTACCCTGGAGAGGGCCTGGAGACAGAGCTTTCCCATGGCACAGGGCCACCGCCACCTAGACAGGGCCAGGCCATGCCCGAGCCTGTGCTCAGGCACACTGTTGGGGTGTCATGCAGTGCTTCCCCTGGGTGATGGGTGCTTCCGCTAATGGCCCTGTGTTTTTTCCTTTCCTCTTGAGTGTCCTTTGGCTGCTTTGTCCTGAGGAGGTATTCTCCACGGGTTACAGGGAATAAACTCGGCTCTAATGATCAAAATGGGGCTCTCGTGATGAGGACAGAAGCACGCGAGGAGAGAGGAGTGCACATCGAGTGTTCTGCTGAGTGGGAGGGTGGCTGGGGGAAGCGTGAGCTTCTAGCTGAGGTGGTTACAGCAAGTGCATCATGTTTGGTTTGGGGCCATCCAATCTTTGCAGCATGGTGGCACTGTGGCACAAAGTCACTGATCGATACTATCATTTATGCTCAGAAACTGAACTGAGCTGAATGTGTTTTATCTTAGCTAAGGCTTTCTTGTCAGGGTGTTACGGCACAGCAGGTTAAATTGCTGCTTGGGATGCCTGCATCTTGTATCGGAGTGCCTAGTTCAGGTCCTAGTTGCTTCATACTTCCAGCCTCTAGCCTGAGAGGCGGTGGATGATGGTTCGAGGCCTGGCCCTGGCTTAACCCCAGCTGTTGTGAGCATTTGGAAGGTGAATCAACAGGTGGGAGGTATCTGTTCCTCCCTCTCTGTCACTCTGCCTTTTAAATAAATAAATAATTCTTGGGGAGGAGGGGAGAGGAGAGGTACTGTGGCATAGCAAGCTAAGCCTCTGCCTGTGATGCTGGCATCCATTATGAGCACCAGTTCAAGTCCTGGATACTCCATTTCCAATCCAGCTGCCTGCTAATGCACCTGCGAAAGCAACAGGCAATGTCCCAAGTGCTTGGGTCCACTTTCATGGGAGACCTAGAAGAAGCTCCTGGTCTCTAGTTTAGGGCTGGCCAACCCTTCCTATTGTGGCCTTTGGGGAATGAACTGGTGATGGAAGATTCTCTGTGTCTCCCTTCCTCTCTAGTTCTGCCTTTCAAATAAAAATGAATGAATGGTCTTGCAGAATAAATAACTACCGCTCCCAAAAAGGATTGTTTGGGTGTGACAAGCTGTGTTCAGGCTGAGGCCATGTGCCCCTCAAGGATTATGCTTTGAGGGTTTCCCCTGTGCAGCAGCCTGGCCCTCTGCCAAAAGAATGGGGGGCTTCTGCAGCCTCAGTGGACGTGTGCAGACCACCCAGGCTCCACCTGCAGGCTCCCGTTTCTCACCTAGTGTTCATGTTTGTGTGTTGTTCATGTTGGTGTGAGGGTTTTCAGAAATGCAACTGTCTTATGGCCTTTCCTGCAGCCTTCCTGCCCTCCCGCCCCAGGCCCGATGACAGTGTGTCCTTTAACAAGGACCCAGAGGCTAGTGTCACCCTGCGCTGGTGTGAGAAAAAGAAGCTACCTCTTCCCTTGTTTGGGCCTTCTCTGCAGGTGGAGCAGTTCTGGCGTTTCTATAGCCACATGGTGCGGCCTGGAGACCTGACAGGCCACAGTGACTTCCACCTCTTCAAAGAAGGCATTAAACCCATGTGGGAGGTGAGTGAACATGGAGGGCCTTGGGCTGCCCTGGAGAAAAAGGTTTTTTCTTTGTTTTTTTGTTTTGCCCTGCCAAAGTTAAAAAGTATGTTGAGGTGTTCTCTCAGAGCTGGTTTAGGGCCCGGCTGAATCCTTGGGAGCCTGCACTCCAGGTAAGGTCCAGGTGACATCACGTGTCTGGGTGCCTTTGGTGCAGGCAGCGTACAAAGATTCTTTGCTCTTATGGCATTATTAACCCGCTGTGGCACAGCACCGACCCCCAGATGGAAGACTCTGACTCTCCCTGTCACTTGGTAAACAAACAGATAATTTTAAAAATAAGCTTGCTTAAATCCATACCTGTTTTCTTTCTAATATGCACCATCCGTGAACTTGTAAACATCTGTTCATTAGAGAGGGAGGGATGAGGTCTTCCATCCACTGGGTCAATCTCCACATGGTTGGCCAGGCCAAAGCCAGCGCCAGGAGCTCCATCTCTGGCCCTGCATGTTGTTGGTGTCCCTGGGCCGTTGTGTGCTGCCTTCCCAAGTGCATAGCAGGAAGCTGGCTTGCCAGCAAAGGAGCGAGGACTCAGGCTTGAGCTCTGACTTGGGCTGTGGCGAGCAGTTGCTTGACCCACTGCACCATTATCCTGGTCCCTCCATGAACTTTTTTTAAGTGGAAAGGCAGGTGTATAGAAGAAATTAGAAACAGAAAGATCTGTCTGCTGGTTCACTCCCCAGGTGGCCGCAACGGCCAGGACTGAGCTGATCTGAAACTGGAACCTTCTTCCGGGACTCCCATGTGGGTGCAGGGTCCCAAGGCTTTGGACCGTCCTCTGCTGCTTTCATGAGTTTCTGTTTTTTTTTTTTTTTTTGGGGGGGGGAACCAAAATAAACTTACATTTTATTTTAATGTTTAATTCTATTTTCTGTGGATCTTGTGGAATATGCTCACATGAGCCCAAGATCCTATTGTGTTTTTCTTTTTCCTTTTCTAGAATTCTACTACTGTTTTTTTCAGTGTAGTTGAATAACTGGAACGTAAGAACACTTCTTGGTATTCGAGGGATTCTTGAGTTGAGACCACCTTGATGTCAAAGAAAACTGTGAAGCCTGTTTTACCCTTAACACTTCCTGTTTTGCAGGATGATGCAAATAAAAATGGTGGCAAGTGGATCATTCGACTGCGCAAGGGCTTGGCCTCCCGTTGCTGGGAGAACCTCATCCTGGCCATGCTGGGGGAGCAGTTCATGGTTGGGGAGGAGATCTGTGGGGCCGTGGTCTCTGTCCGCTTTCAGGTAAGCCCCCCAGCCTGGTGCCTCGGGCTGCCCTCTTGCTCCCCTTCATTCCAGCTTCGCTCTGATGACCGTTTCTGTTCCCACTGTTAGGAAGACATTATTTCAATATGGAACAAGACTGCCAGCGACCAAGCCACCACGGCCCGTATCCGGGACACGCTTCGTCGCGTGCTCAACCTACCTCCCAACACCATTATGGAATACAAAACTCACACCGACAGCATCAAGTACGTGCTGGGGTCTGGGGGTCCGGGTCCCTGAGCTTAGCCACAGGTGCTCCGTAGCTAGGTCTGCAGGGTGTGGCGGTGTAGGAGATGGCATGCAGAGAAGGGACAGAGCAGGCTCCCCCAGGGCTGCTGGCTGCTGCCACAGCTCTTGTCGGCCAGGCTCGCCTGTGCCCCTCTCCTGAAAGGGCTTTGGAGCAGAGCAAGCTGCTCTGCCCAGCCGCCCTGGCTGGCCTTGCTTGGTTCCTGCAGCAGTCTCATCTGTTGTCTGCTAACACACTCTCCAGTGGAAGGCAGCAGTTCCCTTGCGCTGGCCCTGAGCTGGTCCTCTTCCCTGCCCACCCCTCACTCCACTTCTGCATGTCTTTGTGACCTGTTAGCTTCAGTCTGTTTCTTCTCCTGGAAAGTGGCCTTCTTTCAGAATGACAGCTCCATGCCTGGTTGTGTCAGCTGAGCGCAGAGATGCAGAGGCAGTGGGTAGCATGTGGAAAAGCAGGCTTGAAGGGGGTGATTGGCTGCAGGGCAGAGGGGCTCTCCAGCCCCCTGGCCCCAGGAGAGCGGGGCTTCGGTGCCCAGGCCTCTTCTCCCATGCAGAGGGTCTGAGCAAGCCAGATTTTGGGCAGCAGCCAAGGGGGCGCAGGTGGGCTGTAGTAGGGGCGCTCGGTCCTCCTGCAGCCCAGAGCAGCCCGTGTCTTTGGAGTCAGTGTCCGCAGCTGTGAGGGAAGCACAGTGAGGCTGTGGGGAGGCCGAGTGAGTTTTCCCTACCGGCAGGTCCTCACAGGGAGAGGACTCCCACAGGGCTAGCTGTTGGTGCGCTCACCATCCTCATCACGAGTGGCAAGCCCAGTGCGTGTTCCACAGGTAGAACGGACCCTGTGGAGTCTCCTTCCTGTGCGGTCACAGATAATGCCTGGATAGGGCTGGCTCAGAGTAGCCACATGTCAGCTTGTAACCAGGAGTGCTGACACGCGAGTCCATCCCTAATCCAGTGGCTGGGAGTGGCTCGTGCAGCCTGCCGTGGACTGCTTGCTTGCCTTAGCTGACTTGTGTTGGTGCTCTTTTTCTGTAGGCAGATATGGCTGGCTCTGTTTCTGGGGTAGAAGCAGGTGTCTGCACAGGCTGGTGAGATGGGCACTTCTTCTGGGTGCCCCCAAATACCCCTGCCCCCTATACCAGCTTTTCACCTGGATAGGAAAGGGAAAGCTCTCTTCTGTCCTCCGTTTCTTATAGCCTGAGACAGAAATCATGTGCCAGCAAGGCCTTGCAGGATGGGAGAGCTGTGGGCTCGGCCCCACTCAGTTGGGACAACCCGCTTCTCCATGTGCGCCGAGGCCTGCCTCAGGTGCTCCAGCCTGCAGCTGTAGGGACCAAAAACCTCCCTGAGACCCAGCTGCTGCCACTTCCCCCCCCCTTCCCCTCTCTTTCTCTCCCAATGAGCCAACCTTTTGCACTTCCACTAGAATGCCAGGCAGGCTGGGCCCCCAAAGGCTCCTTTTTCAAAGCCTCTGGAAGCCGCGGTTGAACGTGCCATGACCCCTCTGGATGGCCCCGCCCTCGAAGCCGGCGTCCTCGGCGTCTCTTGTTCTGTTGGCCTGCTACTCGGAAGAGCCTTCTGTCCTGGACAAGAGGAGTTGGAAGCGCATTCTCTTTTAAGACCAGGCTGCCCTGCGGCAGCCACGACACCAGCTGAGATCACTTAATAAATGGTGCTAAACTAGCTTGTCTCCTGCTCTTGCTGTTTGTGGTGCATCGGAGATGTGGCCTATCAAACGGCCTGCCACCGTTTTGAAGGAAAGAGACTTCTCCGAGGAAGGCTACCCAGTCTGGGAAAGCAGCATATTCTCCTAAGCCCACTGCATAGTGCCACGTATGGGGTGTTGTGTCCCAGGACTGCTGAGGTCCGACATGACGAGGTGACATCTAGCTCTCAGCGTCAGACCCCAGATTCTGGCCCTTGAACTGTGACTCTGGTCAAGCCCGCCGCGGACCAGCACAGAGGGAGTGCTAGTGGTGTGCAGCTGTGAAGTCCGGGAAGGTTGCAGAGGGCTGTCTTTGTGCTTTGCTGGCTTGCGTCTACCTCTCCTTGAGAACTCTCTTGCTTGGAGGTCAAGGCCTGCTTCGTCTGTGTGGCTGTGTGTATGTGTCTTCCTGGCTTTGTGCTAATGGGCTTTTATCGCTGGTGCCAGAGCTGCCTGAGCCACCAGCTCTTTGCCAGCTTTCTCCCTTCTGCTTTCCTTCAGAGCTACTCATCTTCCTCTTTGAGCTGACCCTGCCTGTCCCCGGCACATCTGCATGCAGGCCAGGGTGCTGTCTCCTCCTGTGGCACTTGTCCCCAGGAAGGTGGGGAACCTGGGCTTGACGCCCCGCGGCTCACCCCTTGCCTGCACAGAGGGCTTCCGCCAGCCTTATCGGCCTGCAGGTTTTCCGAGGAGCCGCCCCCAAAAGTATAAGTCAATGTTCATGGCCGCTGCCTCTGAGCCCCAGGACCACTGCCAAGGGTGTAAGGTGCCTTCTTGAGTAGCTGCTCCTCTTGGCAATAGCGCCCTAGATGTGTGCCTCCTTACTTCACCCAACTCCTCCTGGCCTGGGTCCCACAGAACACACATGGGGGCAGTCAGGTTGGGGCTGGTTTGTTCATGCCAAGCTGGCTGAAGTGCCGAGGAGGCCATTCTCTGCTGTGACCATTTGTCTAGAAGATGACCTTCTGGCTCTCTTCCCGCTCGCCTTGCACTGGCAGGTTAAGTGCACTTACCTTGAGTCCGGTCGTTCTGGACCTGCTCAGGCGGGGGCCTCACATTGCCTGCCAGAGTAGGAGAGAGCTCCGACCTGACCTGGACACCTGCCCCCTTGCCGCAGGGGAGCCACAGTTAGAGGTGGCTCGCGCTGGCCCGGAGAGTTCCCGGAGAAAAGAAGACCAGGGATTTTGTTTGTGCTCCCTTAGGCGCTGGAGGTCAGAGCCTCAGGAAGTGAGGAGTAGGGACATGGCCTGGGAGCACAGGCCGCAGTCCCATGTCCCTAGCCTCCGCCTGGGTTCTGGTCCAGGTTTCATGGCCTTTCTTGGCCTGTTTGCTTTCTGCCCCTCCCTGAACCCCAGGGATGATGGCCTTTGCCTGATGCACCACAGGTGACCTATGGGGCCCCGGGCTCCCCAAGGGGAATGTGAGCCTCTGCCAGCGTGTACAGCTCGCACCTCAGGAAGCTGCTTACACAGAGTTCTCGTTAGGTCAGAGCTCCTTTGAACAAGGCCATCGTGCAAGTTTGGGTCCCTGCAGATATCAGGTAATCGATCACAGTGTGACGAGAAATGTCATGGGCCCGTTGAAATCAGGAGGCCACCGGGACACAGCTGGGCTCAGAGCCACCTACAGCAGCCCTACCTGGTGTGTGGAAACCTCTTATGGGGCAGTTGTCCTGCCCCTCTCTGTCCCTAGCCAGAGCCCACTTCCCGGAGTGGCTGTGCTGCTGCGGACACCTGGCCAGTGGTGTCTGCAGGGCGAGTGGAGGGCAGGCGACATGTCTGCTTGTGTAGTCCAGCGGAGAGACTAGTCAAGCCTGTGGGACTTTGCTGCCCATGCCAGAGACCACTGCAGTTCAACACCAAATGTCAGTTTACAGAGGGACTGCAGCTGTCCTTCTCCTGGGTCACCCCGTCTGGGCTGACTTAGTGACACAAGCCAGCACTCTGATGCTTTGGGGCATGGAGCCTGAGCTCCACGGGTAGGAGTGCCAGGCCGTGTCCCTGGCAGGCTTTGGGCAGGGCTGGCAGAGAACAGATGATGCAGATGGGAGACCTCTGCTCTCAGAACTTGTTTTTGGTAAGTGCAGGAGGCAAGGCTGGTTTGAAAAGGCCCTTTGTGACTTTTCATTTGAATCTGTAGAGTCCCCCTTGGTGACAGGAATCTTAAGTCACATGATACTTTTTACGCTTGGTTTGTTCAATCTTTATTTTTGAAAGAAGATTGTTTTAACATTGCTTAATGCCTCTGGGGTGTCAGGTAAAGAAGTAGCTGGAACCTTCACCGCTCACCTTAGGCTGTTGGACATGCCTCTCAGCCATGCTGCTGGCCTGCAGGCACCAGCATGACTGTGTCAAGGACTGTGGCCAGCTATTTCACTTCCACTAGATTGTGCGAGGAAACCCAGATTCTTCACATTGATGTTTAGCAGTGAAAATACTTAGGAAGAGTCGGAGGGATTAGTGAAATTGCAAGTCTGAATTTCTTCAGGTTCTCAGCTTGGCAACCCTGTTTGGTGTGGTGTAGTTGTGGGTCAAAGAGACGAAGCGCGACAGCCATGAGATTTCCTCCTGACACGTACGTTGTTTAAAACAGAATCTTAAGTCCTGGTGGTAGGAGGAGTGAGGGCTTGGCCCGGGTCGTCGGCCGTGTGTTGATTCGGCCTGAAGAGGGAAGCTGCCTTCTGTCGCCCCTTGTGAACTGCTAGAGGCCATCCCATCTTCATCTCTGCAGGAATGGGCTGTGGAATGGATAGCTCTCTGAAAGTTGACAGAGCCTGGCATGGCTGTGAGGCAGCCTTGCATTTTTTTTTCTCAGTTCTCTTAGCACATGCCAATGGTGTGGGTCATCTTGGGAAGGAACCAGAAATTGCAAATCTCTGTTGTTGCAAGACATGGATCATTCACCTGGAACTGCTGCTGTTCAAAAGAGGCGAATTCATACGCCTAGAAGAATGGATTGGTTGTCCCAGGGTCTGTATTTCCTGTTAAGAACAGAAGAGCCAGCCTGAGAAGAGGCCTGACCGTGAAGTGTATTTCAGTGTTTGTATTAATACATGTGCCGCGGTGACACCTTGCACCCTGGACACAAATCACCACATTAAGCCAAGAGCCAGAATGAGTGGTGATTCCCAAGGAACTCAGGCTGAGAACTGACTTGGCCAGAAAGCTAGGGGAGGAGCTCGGCTGAAGAAATCTGAGGTTGGAGCTCCCCAAAGTGTAAGGGATCACTCTTTCCATTCCTCGTGCCTTGATAGCTACTGTCGCACCCACTGTTCCCCTTCCAGGCACAGGCTCAACCCTTCTCTACCCGGGGTTCCAAGCCAACTTGGTCAGCATGACGTGCTCAGGAGTGTTGTCCTGCACAGCTCATGGTTCATACTGACGCAGGCGCCTTCCGGAGCAGGAGGGAGCCATGCACCTGGGCCAGGGCTTTAGAAGGATTAGAAGGTTGGAGGTGCAGGAGCAGAGAAAGCACTCTTTCTCTTTCAGCCTCTCATCTGCTACTGTAGGCAGTTCAGCCTTTCTCCTCAGTGTGTGGCCTGGGGACACCAATGGCCCCCAAGGACTTGCAGGGAGGCAGGGGTATGCTTGTCCTTCACCACAGCACACTGGGGGTGCTTGCAGTAACAGCTCCCACCTTCTGGCTTCCCCCGCAGTCTTGAGGAGAATAGCGAGGGCCAGAGAGGTACCCGCTGTCCCTACTAGTGGCCCCACTGCAGCCCCCAGGGCACCTCAAGTGGGAAGTGGGGGTCTGGGTCTGCACTCTGTTTGATCTGAATGTGCTGTTGTGTTTTTTGTCTCTGGTTTGCCAGGGCCTGGGAGGAGTTTCATGGGCTGGTGAACAGCAGCGGCCGCTGATCGGACGCTTCCCCTCTGTCTCACACTCAGGGTAGGGCCTTGTCTATCTTCTCTGTAACCCCGTGGCATACCCCCTCTTCCCAAGGGGATGCCCTATCCCGGCTCTGGCCTCTGCCAACTCAGGAGTCCCAAACCACTGGGTCTTAGTCTCTGTGTGACCTTGGACAGGCCACGTTCCCTCCTGTGCCTGTGTACCCATCTGGAAAACTAGCTCCGTAGCCTACTCCATGCTGCTGTACCAAGGTGGGCAGTGGGCCATAGTCCTCCTCTCTCACATGTGGCTGGTACAGAGGTACCTGCCCAGGTGCTCGGCTAACAGGGTGAGTCCGTGGGCTCTGATGTGGTTTGGGTGCGAGCTCCAGCTCCTGCCCAGTGGTGCCAGGTGTGAGCCATGGTGAAGCAGTTCAGGGTTTTAGCAATGACAGTGCCTGGGTAGAGTTCAGGGCCATGTTCAAGTGGTCGCAGGCTTGGCGGTCAGTAGACCAGCAGCTGCTGAACAGCAGGAAGGGCACAGAAATGGCAAGTCCCATCAGGGACATGCACATCACAGCTAAGAGGGGGCGGCTGGTAGCTGGGTGTGCAGGTTCCAGAAGAATCTAAAGAGCAGCCACTGAGCCTGTGCCTACAGTGGTGCCCCCTGGGCTTGTTTTTTTAGTGGGCTGAGTCCCTTAGTGCAGATTGGGCTTGAGTGTTTATACATTGCCACTTTAGAAACTTGTTAGAGTCCAGGCAGCACAGGGTTCCAGCAGAGGGGGAAGCTGTGGGCAGAGGAGCAGTGATTGCTGGGCTAGGACAAGGTTGGACAAGGAGACCTGGAGAGGCCTGAGGCTGTAGTGGATCGTGTAAGAGTCGCAGCCTGTTTCATTCTGGGTTTCTTCCTGGCTGTAAGTATTCTTAAACTTGGCCAAGCAGGGCCTGTCGTCTTCTCATGGTGGTGTTGCCACCTTCATGTCCATCAGAGGTGCCTTTTGAGATGGAGGGCCTCCTGAGTCCACAGGGCTCCCCTGCCCACAGGCCCAGTCCCCCAGAAGGATACCATGGGATGGCTTAGGAAGGCACGTATGCGTGTCATTGCCACTCGATAGCCTCTTGCGTTTTCTTTATGTCATTGCACATGACTGTTGGCATCTTGTGTCATCTGACATGCGTCACACATGGGTCTTGCTCTTCAGCACATGTTGGCCCCAGTCAGCTGCCAGGGGAGGGGTCTGGCCAGCACGCCCAGGAGGGGGCTCCTGTGAGAGCCCTGTGCTTGCGGGGAGTACAGGTGATCTCAGCAGCAGATGGTACACTGAGCTCGCTCCACTGACCACAGAGGGTCTGTAGTTTCCTGAGCTGCATGGAGGGGCCAGCCAGAGCGGTCTGGGCAGAGCAGCTGGGAGCCCTCTGCCAGGGCCTCTCCATGCTGGGCTGGTCACCGACGCAGTGGCAGGCCAGTCTCTGGCAAGCAAGGCAGGTGTTCTGTAAGACCACCCTGCCCCTCTGCTGTCACTTCTGCTGTCCCTCTGCTCTCCAGCATGGCTTCTAGAACCAACACTGGTATGTTTCTGTGAAGCACCAGGAGGCGTGGCAGGAGGCCTCACGGGGAGCTAGCTGGGCATGTGCAGCAGGAGCCGGTTTGGACAGAGCCTACTGCCCCTTGGGAGACCTTGCCTGCCCAGGGAGGCCAGTAAAGAAAGAATGATTTTGTCCTTTTCCCGTACTGTGGGGCTCTGACTTCTGCACCTGCCCAGCCCTGTGCCAAGGGACATGCACTGTAGCTGTAGTTAGTTTACTTTAAAAAAACTGGAAGCCCATTTTAGAAAATGTCTTGTGGCCTCTGCCACTCACTTCCTGTGTCTGTTCTTCCCCCATGGCACTTGGCCGTCCTCCACCACCTTCCCAGGTATGTCAGCAGGGGGCTGGATGACATGCTCAACAGCCAGGACTTGAACTAGCCCTCTGATGCAGGATCATGTGTTACAGTGTAACCATGGTGTCACAATGCCAGACTTGGCATTGGCAGCAGGCACAGACCCTCCCAGCCCCACACACCCCTCCTTTGTTCTGTTTTCCCCAACTGAGACAGCTGGCATCTCCCAACCCTTCCCTAAGTCTCCTCCTCCCCCTTTTCCATGTTGCCAGTGGGCCTTAGAGTGAGAAGACTTGTTAGGTTTGCTGATTATAGAGAAATCCTTAAGAAGGAAAAGCCTAAACAAATATTAAATGCCTGGATGGACATGTGAGCTGTAACTGCCAGTGCATCTGCCCCAGAGAGTTGGTGCAACTGGGGCTCTTCACAGAGATGAGCTGAGCTGCTGACGGCAATGATGGAACCCCCTAAGAGTGGGTCCCCGCTCCCAGAGTGCATGGCACTCCCACAGGCAGGAGCTCTGACCCGCTTCCCTGCCCTGCCTCAACTGCCAGTTCCTGCGCTCCAGTGTGGGCGCAGGGGAGCGTTGTGGAGGGCAGGGTGGCTCGTCTGCAGGAAGCTTGAGAATAGTGTCCAGAGGTGCTTGCGTTCTTCCTGCGGTGGTGTGGGCCTGCTGTGGGCCCCCTGGGGACCCGCAGAGGGCTTTTTGTGCTGTTGACACTTTAGAAGGAGGATCGCCTGCTGAGCTCTGTATTCGGCTTTCAGCGGGGTTGACGGTGGGGGGGGGGGTAGTTGGGGAGGGGCAGTGCTTGTAGTGAGCCCCATGGATGTGTGTGTGTCAGTTACAAAGTACTGGGACCCTCTGTAAGGGTACAGGGTGACATTGGTTCTACCCCTTTGAGTGTGCTGGGCGAGGGGCTGTTGTCCCTGTCAGCCTGCCCCATCATGCACATCGCTGACAGCCAGTGGTGACAGCAGACTGGCTTCCCATTGTCGCTGCTGAGCTTTGCCCTGCACTGATTGCAATACTCCCAGTTCATTGTAGCAGTCTTAGAATGGGCTGGTTGAAAGCCACAGCTAGTAGTGCATCCCTCGGGAATCACAGGGAAGTACTGACTCCAGAAGCCAGCATAAGGAGAATTTCTCTTTCCAACATTTTTAACAAATTCAGGGCTCGAGCACCAGGCCTGGGCAGCAGCTGATGGTCTCAGTGGTCTCAGCCCACAGCCTTGTCCACCTACATCCCGTGTTGGAGTGGTGGGGTTCGAGGCCTGGTTCCTGATTCCGGCTCCCTGCTAAATGTGTCCCCTGGTGGGCAACAGGTACTGACATAGGACTTGTCCCTGCCACCTCTGTAGGAAGCTGAATCGAGTTCCTGGCTGCTGGTTTCAGCCTGGCCCAGCCCTGGTTGGTGTGGGCATTCAAGAATCAGAGATCTCTGTTTTTGCATCTCTCAAGGGAATTAAATACATTTTCATAAGTGAATCAGTCAGTAAGTAAAGTATATGTTCTTGTAAGTGAAGCCCTGCCAGTTCTAAGATTTTGAGGCTCTTGTGGTAAGGTGACCTGCCAGTTGCCAGTACAGTACACCCGTAGATTTCCAGTGTGGGACAGACAGTTCCTGCAGAGTAGCGTGGCCTGAGAGGGCAGCAGGGCCACACCTGAATCAGACATCTGTGCATGCAATTGCGAAATGAGAGCGAAGGGCATCTCCTGGCATCACCTTTCCTTCTAGAAGCAGCTCTGCATTTAAAGCTAAGAATGTGTGTCCATTTGGTTAGCTGGGGAGGTGGCAGGGCTTGGCTCCTGTAATCCAGTCATGTGGTTGATTTGAAGTTGAGGCGAGGGAGACTCCTCATCTGCCATCCCCACCTGCCCAGTTCCCACTGTGCCCTGGCCTCAAGTGACCACTGGAGCTAGGTTCTTGTGTAGTCTGATTTCAGAGTTTTCTTAACCCAGACACCAGCAGCTAGGAGTGGGGCTGTGTGTCCCCCAGTCCTTCCAACTCCTGTGCACCTGAGGTTATCAGGTGGCTCGGCCATCTGCATTCAGTAGCAAGCCCTTCTGTGCATTTGTACTGCCAGTGAGTGCCCGGTGTTGTGTGATGGGACTCCCATGGCCTGGGAGGTGGGCTGCTGCAGGTGTGAGCAGGCAGGAAGCTCCAGGGGTGTGCTGAAAGGGGGAATGGGTCCGGTGCCCCGTGCATGCGTGACTGTCAAGATGATCCCTGTATTGAATGCTCTATTTTCTCCCATTTTTTTTTCTTTCAGGGACAATTCAAGCTTTCGAAATACAAAAATCACATTGTGAAAATACCCGAGCTGACATTAATCCCTTTCTATCTGTGTGTGGGAGTCCGAGAGGAGGGACACCTCCAGCTGGCCCTTCCTCTTGCCCACGGAAGGGACGGCCGAGCCCCATGCTCCTCTTTTGCATTCCTGCCTGGAGGCCGGAGTCTGCTCGACACCCTCCCACTCGCTGACTTTAGACAGCAGGAAAACAGAGCCGGGGACTTTGTATTAGACGGTTCTGGGGGGGAGTCCAGCCTTTGGTTTCGCTGTGTGCTGCCCAGGTGCCCGAGGACACCCCGCTGCTGTGCACGTCTGCTGCTGTCTGGAGGCTGCTGTGAGCGTGCCTGCAGGCCAGAGCCCCGTGGGAGTTAGCAGTATTACGAGTGTCTGCACCCAGGAGAGGCCCAGAGTCGCTGTGAAGGTCCTCTTCTAGCTTGGCCATTAAATTATTGGGACATTTTGGTTTCTTCTTGCCCCTGTTCCCCTAAGCCCACCACAATCTGGAAACACGTTGTGGATGCGATGGCTGTCGGATTGCTTCATCCACCGCCCGCTGCCCTTCAGTCTTCCCTCCTGCGCAACACTCTCCTTGGGCACTGCCTCATGTAGACCTGGAACCAGCGGGCATCCCTGGGGTGACGCTCAGGCTGGGCTGTGGTCCTGCAGACTGGAGCTGGAAGGCCGCACGGGATCGCCTACAGGGTTTGGAGCCAAGCACAGTGGCAGCTGCCTTTGAGCGAGGCCTGGTGCCAAGCCAGCCCTTCACTAAGGAGGAGCAGAAGCTGAGTCATGTCATGCCGGCAGTGAACGCCCATGACCTATAGTCACTAGTCCCGAACGGAGCACTGCCAGTCTGCAGTTGGAAAACCCTGCTTGCAGTCCATGTCACCTGGCCACGTGGTGGCACACTGCTGGCTTCACCAACGGCCCCTCACTCAGCACGAGGCTCCGTGGCTCTGAAGGACTGAGCCCAGGAGGCCCAGAGTGTCAGTGGTGGGCCCGGGTCCTGAGCAGCCTGTGGGCAACACTGGGGGACGCGGCCCTTGGGAGGGCATCACGGTATCTTAAATCAAGGCCCCTTCTGTAAAGCACATTGAGAAGGCCAGGGGCAGAGAAATCCATCACAAGTGAGGCACATCTCCTCGGTGTATTTGTATGAGCCCTTCCTGTCTGCCAATCCCTAAGTCCCCCAAGTTCCCCCACTTGCGGCTGCTCCTTCCTGCAGGTGCAGTACACCAGGGCCCCATGGGAACTCGGACAGTGGAGCAGGCTGGGTAATGACTGCGGCTCACGCACCGTGCGTTCCAGCATCCGGGTTACAGGGATGGAGACGCCACACGAGCTGCAGGGGGAGCAGGGGCTGCCCTGAGTCCTTTGCTCCCCACCTTGGCCTGAACTTAGACTTGCCATGGGAATTCCAAAGAACACTGCCATTGGGATCTGCCCCCTTGCGGGCAGCCGCCCAGTTGCGGTATGTATGTGGGGACTGGGGCGTGCACTTTGGCCATAGATGTGTGGTTTGGTTTTGGGGTTTTTTTTTTTTTTTTGGTCCCATTTGTTCAGATTTTTGGATTTCTTAGGTCTTCCATCCTCTCTGCTGCTGCCACGTTCAGCGGTTACCCTTCCTGGCAGGTGCCCGTGCCCCAGTGCTGGTTCAAGCAGGAGGTCACGCCTGACATGCACTGTCTCTGCCCAGTATGCTCCCAGATGCCCCGCCTGGCAGCCGCACTGAGCAATGTGTCCACACCACTCACTTTTTCCAGCTGGCTTTCCTTCATTTTGACTCTGTGGGCTCTGAGATGCCAAGCCACACCGCAGTTATGGGTGCAGTCTCCCTGTGCCAACAGGAAGGTGGGCTCTGCCAGGGCCGTGGGACGGATTTCATTGTGGCGGGTTGCACATGGGCAGGGCTGTCTCCCACCCCACCTCAGGCCCCTGGCTGGGTCTGTTCTTTGCACCTGGACCCTGCTCCATTCCAGGCACCCTCTGTGTACTTGGTGTGTGTGTGTGTGTGTGTGTGTGTGTGTGTGTCTGTCCCCTGTGACACTGGTAGTGACATCCCATGTCCATTCAGAAAGACACTCGTGGTCAGTGCTCCAAGACTGGGTCTCTGAGCACTTGCCCAGGAAGGGGAACAGGCTGTGGCGAGAGTGATTGTGTGTTGCACTTTGAGAACAACTGTCTACTGCAGTAATAAATGGAAGATGGTCGTGGCCCTGGTCTTGGATTTCTGATTTCAGGGGGATGGGGAAGCGAGGTTGGCAGCTTGGCTGGCCTCGATCGGCCATTCACGAAGAGCCCCCATGTGGGTCGTGTTCCAGAACGTGGGGATGACACATATTTTTAAATTTGAGAGTTGAGGTTATTTATTTGAAAGAGTTGGAGATTTTCTGTCTGCTAGTTTACTCCACAGTTGGCAAGGGCCCAGAGGCTTGGGTCATCTGATCCTGTTTTGCCAGGCCTCATTCAAGTGAGCCCTGGCTGCCCTACTTGCAGTCCAGCTTCTTGAAGTTGGGAAAGCAGTACGACATGGCCCACGTGTCGGGCCTTTGCCATGCAAGTGGAGATCTGGATGGAGCTCCTGCGTTTGGCTCGCCTGGCTGGCTGCTGCAGTCCCAAGCACAGTGCAGTAGACAGAAGCCCAAACAGAGTAGATGGAGCCTTGCAGGCTGTGTCCTCCAGGCTGCGTTCAGAAATAACACACAGGAATTCAGGTGGTTCTTCAGCCTGGCCCAGCCTGGCAGTGTGCACCTCATGGAATGGACCAACTGAACTGACGAGACATCTGGCTCTCTCTGACTCTCTGCCCTCAGTCAGACGTTTTTAAGGCATAAACAGATTCAGCACCTTGCAGAAGGGCCCTCACTGTGTAAGCAAAGCTGGAGTCTGACTTGGAATTCTAGCTTCCTAGAGTGACCTCTGGCAGGTTCCAGCTCCTGTTCTTTGCACCTGGCCCTGTGCTCACATGCCCCTGTGCTCACGGTGGGTCACTATGAGTCACACAGTTGGCCGGCGGGACATGGGTGTCGGGTGGTCCTGCAGGGTGCTAGCAATAGACAAGCACCCCGCCCTGCCGACTACAGAAACAGCAACTGGTGAGCCGGGGGCTGCTAGCGGGGTGAGGTTTTAGACCCTTACCCTGAATGGCACACCACTCCCAGTTTCAGGAAACCCAGGACTGGCCTTGCCCAGGCACAGCACAGGGTTTTCAGGCATTGCTGTTCCTGGTCTACATGGCACAAATATTTTACACGCTTTTTTTGTTTTTTTTTTTAAGATTCTTTATTTGAGGGCCCAGCATGGTAGCCTAGTGGCTAAAGTCTTCGCTTTGCATGCACTGGGATCCCATATGGGCACCAGTTCTAATCCTAGCCACCCTGCTTCCCATCCAGCTCCCTGCTTGTGGCCGGGAAGGCAGTCGAGGATGGCCCAAAGCCTTGGGACCCTGCACATGCATGGGAGAGCCAGAAGAGACTGGGCTCCTGGCTTTAGATTGGCACAGCTGTGGCCATTGTAGCCACTTGGGGAATAGATCAGTGGACGAAGGATCTTCCTCTCTTTCCTTCTCTCTGTGTATCTGACTTTCCAATAAGAATAAAATAAAAAATGAATCTTTTTTTATTTTTTTAATTTTTTTTTGAAAGGCAGAGTTACAGAGACTGCCTGCCTGCTGCTTCACTTTCCCCAAGTGGCTGCAGCAGTTGGGACTGGCCAGTCTAAAGCCAGGAGTCAGGAGCTTCCCCCAGGTCTCCCATAAGCACTTGGGCCATCCTCTGCTGCTCTCCCAGTGCATCAACAGGAAGCTGGGTCAAAAGTGGAACAGCTGAGATACGGACCCACGCCTTCATGTGATGCTGGCATTGCAGGAGCCTGACTCACTGCAGCACAATGCCAGCCCATGCCATAGGTGTTTCTGTGGAGTCTCCGTACCTAAATCACTCTCTAATATAACCTGCTCTCTTCACATCCTTGCCCGTCCTGTTCCCCAGAGCACGCCGAGCTGCCTGCGGGCAATGCTGCTTGTGCCCCTTTCCCCAGCAGTCACTCTCCACTCTGACCCATGTTAAGTTCAGAGCACCCCTCTTCCAACCACACCCCTGGTTAGGAACTGGCCTGGAGAGGAGTGTGCAAGATACAGGGCACCCTTGACTGTGGGCCCAGGGAGGCAGGCAGACTTCCGCCCCTCTGTGTTCCCGGAGCTGCTCTGCGGAGTGCTTGTTGCACTTGCGTCCATGCTGAGCCCTCACTGCGGGACAGTCACTCCCTGTGTGCCTGCACCACCCCGCTGCTGGGACAGGAGGTAGGAAGGCCGGCATTGTATCGCCCTCATCCCCTCTGGCGGGCCCACAAAGCTTTACCCAAGAGCCAACACCACAGCCCTTCAGCTCCCGCAGGGCTCCATGCAACCAGGCTTCTGACCACAGGTATGGTCAGTCACTTCTCAGTCCCTGCCTGCTACCTGATGGGCACAGCTCACCACTTACTTGCCCATGACCTGAGGCACAGCTTCCAGCTGTGCATGTGGAATGTGACCTCTGACATGATGGTCAAGGGCATAGATGTGCATTTTAGCCAATTACAGCATATTTGGTAGGTGGGGGGACCACCAGAAGATGCCCTCCTGCCCTGCTCTTCCTTAACCTTTTTTTTTTTTTTAAGATTTATTTTTTATTGCAAAGTCAGATATACAGAGAGGAGAGACAGGAAGATGTTCCATCAACTGAGTCACTCCCCAAGTGGCCGCAACAGCCAGAGCTGAGCCAATCCAAAGCCAGGAGCCAGGAACTTCCTCCGGGTCTCCTGCACAGGTGCAGAGTCCCAAGGCTTTGGGTCATCTTCAACTGCTTTCCCAGCCACAACAGGGAGCTGGATGGGAAGTGGGGCTGCCGGGATATGAACCATTGCCCATATGGGATCCCAGTACAAGGCAAGGATTTTAACCACTAGACTAAAGTCGCCCCCCCGCCTTTCCA